GGCTATACCTCTCCAATGTCACTCAAACCGCGGCCAGCACAGAGGACGAGCCGGGTAATGGGACCGGCATCGAGCTTGGGCAATATAGAGATTTGCGCTCGCGTCTGACGTTACTCGATTCAGCAGCGCTGCCTCGCCTCGATTGTGTGTCACATCTCACCTTCTCGAATTGGCAGCGCAAGCCTTGCCCTTCTGTCTATCTCGACATAGCCGCTCGTTTGGCCGGCCTTAGGAAGTTGGATCTTTTTCTCGATGGCTTCGAAATGCGGTATCCGGGGCGTCTTAGGGACGACCGCAAAAGTCTGGCTCTTGCTCTCGAAACAAGATCGGAAGAAACGCAAATAATTTCTCACGCCACGCTAGACATGAGCCTTGATAACGGCGCGATCCTCCAGACGTTACGTATGCCCGACAACAAATATCCCTTAGAATACGATGCGCTTAGCTCGTCGCTGCGCACTTGGTCCCAACGACTGGTCCACTTTAGCGTCCGAGGCGTTGTCGACGAATCACTATTCTGGCCCCACGCGCAGGACAACGCAGCCGTAGCTTCTCTAGAGTGGTAGCGAATGGAGTCCTTCGACGTACAGCTCGAACGACACACTCCTGCCGGGTGGTGGTACTTCATGCCTAAGGGCGAGTCCCGTTACGGCGCCCCCCACGCGACCCAACAAAGGACCCGGAGGATCAGCCGCCCAAATTCACCGATGACCCTTAGGATGGCGCTGACCCGTTCGACCAGGAAGCCGAGGACCACTAGGACATGTACAGGCGGACCGACGAAGACGAGGACCATCGTGTCCGTAACGTGCCCAACGAGGACGCCATTCAGCCCTTGCTCGAGGCCTGGGCAAAGGCATTGGCGCGCATGCCCCTGCTACGGCGGGCCAAGGTCGGCTTCGAGGTGGAAATTCCCAACAGCGAGACGTAGGACGAGGAGGACGTGAACATGGAGGACTGGGAGATCATTTACGAGGCGCCGGACCAGCAGGGCGCCAAATGGGGGAAACACTTTGAAGCGAGCGAGCGAGCTAGTAGACGTTTGATCTTCCATAACACGGGCCGTTGGCGGCCGGCTTAGCGCACAATGCATCTGTTACAACAGGCTGGTCTGGAAAGTCACCCCGGAACCGAAATGGCCATTTTGTCGGTAAATGAGTGGAATAATATCCTGCGATAAATCGAGCCAATTAATCATATACATCTAATTTGTGGGACACTATTAGCAAGAGACCCATAAGCCCGGTCAAAGCATTAACGAGCTCCTAAAACGAGTGCTTACGCGCAATTTACGGCGCATATAAGGCTATACCAACGCGGTTACTTGAAGCTAAAGCAGCGATCCCGCCGCTAGACATTTATTTAAGTGCTTAAGCGGCGAAGTTCGAATTACGGATTCGCAAGAAAAAGACCGACAAGCTATTACGCACCGCTTGCGCAAAGGCGGCGCATATACTACGAGAGGCGAAGCCGGTTAGACGAAGAAAGCCGTTACCGCTTCCTTTACGCCTAGCAGCATACTAGATCGAGAAGTACGAACGAGCACTAAGATGGGCCGACGGACGGGACTTACGACTAGCTCTCTCTAGACACTGCTAACAACGTAGACAAAGCGCTAACGCTTCGCAAGATGATCGCCAAAGTAAAGCACTAGCTGACGAAGCCCTTAGAACTAGCCTAAAGTAGTATAAGAAGTTTAAGAGGAAAGAAGCCACGATAATCTTCCAGATCCGGTCTAAACGGATTGGACTTGCAGCCTTCTTATTTAGAATAAACGCGTTCGGAGCGTATACACCCCTCTGTTGTTATGGCGAAGCCCCCGAAACGGTCGGACACGTATTCCTCCATTGCGGGCTATTAGAAGAGGCTTAAGTGCGCCTAAAGAGCTCTATAGCTCCGGTAAAGCTAAATACACGCCGCGACCTCGCCGCGGCCACGTTAATCCCGGGAGTGTCGAAGGCTTTAGTTCGGTGGCTATTACAAACGGGGAGACTATCTTATATAGGGGATAGCCAGTCTTTTCAGGGGTAGTTATGTTAGTTAGGTGAGAACTAACGTCGTAATATAGACACTATAACGTAGACGCCACTAGGGCGTAGAGCACACGAAGCGTACGGGTTTTGTCCAGCCCTTAAGGCAAGGTTTACCGTACGATGTAATTCGGAGAGGTACCGCGGGACTTAGAGTTTTACGGCGTATTTAATAATAATAATAAATAAATAAAAGTTTAATAATTAACATTATTATAAAAACGTTATTTAAAGTTAAAATGTAATTTTAAAAACCTTAAAAATAATGTTATAAAGGGGGGGGGATTATATAAGTAACAGAAAACAATTAAGTGTTTATAATAAGTATAACCTTTATTTTAAATTACCCGCCGAACGTTTAAAGATATACTTATAATAATCGGCATACCTCGTGTTTTATAAAAATAAAATCTCTCTTTTTCTACATAGTTCCGGGCTAATAAAATAGTGTGCTTTAACTTTAGAGACCTTATATATACGAGGAAGCTAGTAAGTACTAAAGTAGTGAGTGTTAGCTGTACTAATACTACAAGGGAGCCAAGTGGGTCGTACGACTTTCCGTCGTGGTTGTCCAGGGTCTGATCAGTATAAGGTCGAAGGGATGGAACTTGTAAATAGTCTAAGGACCACGCTTTTTTAGACTTTTGACTTCGGTCGCGTGGTTAGTTTTTGTAGTAGTGCATTCGGAAGACGACGAGAATGGCTCGTCGTCACTAATTAATGTTATTTTGGTTATTAAGTTCATTCTTTCCATTCATTTCTTAGTGATCAGTCCGCGAGTGAACTAGCGAGTTCGTCGTGAGGCTCATAACCTAAGGGACAAGACAGTGGCCCTGGTTTAGTACTTAACTATTACGTCCTTTTAAAGAGTACCGCCTCTTTTCTACTGTGATAAGAATTGCTATTAGATCATATTTTCATCCCTAGACCGCCGACCGAGGATATGACCTTTGCGTTCGTATGCTACGGAATGAGTCTACGTTCTCGGCACCATTCCAGGCCGCTACGTGTTATAGCGACACGCTTACAGTCCTGCACTAATACCAGCCGAGGGGAGAGACGTAATGAAGAACATAATCGATAACATGTGTACCGTGATATCATCCGCACTGTTGTAACAAGGGGCAAGAGCTTGTCACAGCCATGCCCCGCCCGCCAGCCGCTAGCTAGCATATTTTCTCGACCATACAATCTGTTTGCCGCTTTAGAAAGGCGTATGAAATTATGTTAATCCGACTATTACCTTATGTTTACTGATCAGCCTGGTGTTATTCTTGCCGTCCATTCGCCATTTTAATTAGGTCACGCTCGCGTTCCAAATCTGCCAGCATCGTCTATCACCATTTCATTTCCTAATATTTCATACCGGTAGTTCCACCCGCTACTGTGCCCAAATCAGTCGTTATGGCCTTACGCACCGAGATTCCCTACGGCTGTACAGTAAGAGCTATCAAATATACCACCACCTCTAATGTCCTGCGCGCCCTGCTTGGTGCCGGGCGGCATAATACTCTCACCATGTCAATAAAAGCGCTTGCGACGTGATGGGTTTAGCTACTATCCCGACGTGGTGTTCTGACAGATGCGGACCAATTGTGACCAAGACAGCAAACAGAGGATACAAGGGTTTTCGTTTCTACAAATAGAAAACATACATAGTAAAGGTTTCTGTAGCTGCCTTAATCATGTCGAATGCATCTAAATCGCGTTAGATGCACGCCTTAATACTGTATCACCAATCATATTTCACGATTGACAGATTCGAAGTCGGTCGGCAAAAACGACTAGTGAAAGGCGAAGACATCTGCAAGTTTCAGTCGAGTTTTGCTTTTATAAAGGTCTGCGTAACGACAATGACTCCACCATTTCGGATCCTACGTACTAGACTAGACACTCCCCACAAAGGCACAAAGCAGACCATCAGTGTTTCTTAGCAAAATCAATTTCTTCTCTGGACGGACTGACGCGGGAATACCTAGTATGCAAGGCAGGTAGTACGACATAGGCAGAAGCGCAAGCCTACTACATTTTGTTCCAATACTTGCTGAGAGCTTTTGTCTTGTCCACATCATATACAGCTCATATAAGCACCTAGCCGGCTAAGACATACATGATGGAATATAATTCGAGCCTATTGAACATTAGACCAGCGTGATACGTTTTTACGTAGAGTGCTGGACCGGTCTGCAAGATGCACACTGGTGAACATTCAGAGCGGCTGCAGTGGAAGATTGGCCTCGGTAAATGAGCTGGCGTGACACAGCATAAATTATATCATCTCATGCATGGCCCAGAAATAGCTGGCCACGACCCCAAATTTCTCCGCGCTTTTCTCAACGCAGGATTACTCGCAATAGAACACACAATAGGTCCTCATATCACCACCATACATCATTACTATGGGTATCGATGCCGGCTTCGACATGGTTCCACGGCTGTCTCGAGGAACTGAAGACTGCCTCAAGTGGAATAATTTTATTGATTTGGTAAAGCAATTCTATGACGCCGACGAGCAGGTTGAGATTGGCACACACGCGATTAAGTTCAAGGCAGGCGAGCACCCTTCACTGCCTGTCGAAGGACACAAATTCTTGCGATTTAGTTCAAAGGTTTCTGGAAGGATTGCAAGGGAGACTGGGGTCGAAGCCTTTATCCAGAAGGTCACAATTATGGCGAAAGCTTCGTTCGGCGCTCGCATTCAGTTCTGGGATGAGAGTGATGACCAACTTGGCTTTTATGACTGGACAAGCGTCCATGCCTCGATCAAGTCGTACATGCAAGTAAGAAATGCCTTTGCTCCACCTCTCTTCTCTTCTTCTGATCTGTCAGGGTACTTCCAAGCCAGAGTTCCCGCTGTCCGATGGTATCATAAGTGCCCAATGCGCCAAAGGTACAGACTTGTACGAGGTGGTGGAGATTGCCGGCCGTGGCAAAGGGCTCGTAGCTAAAGTCAACATTCCGAAGGGTATGCGAATCCTTTGCGAGAAACCCCTTCTCATCGTCGCGAGCATGCCACCACATCTGGTTCACGACACGGTCGCCAGGAAGCTTAAAACATTGTCCAAGAATGAGCAACGGCAACTTCTCTCTTTGCACAACAATTTTCCAGGCCAGTACGCCTTTGATGGTATCGTTAGGACCAATGCACTCCCTTGTGGTCCTAATTCCCGTGTGGGCGGTGTCTATCCCAAGATATGCCTCATCAATCACAGCTGCATCCCGAATGCCCACAACAATTGGAACGAAGAGGCTCAACACGAGACAATCCATGCTGTTAGGGATATTTCGGTCGGTGAGGAAATCATGATATCTTATGATATGTCCTTACCCTCGGATGCTCGTTGGGTGAAGCTGAAAGCCTCGTTCGGATTCCAGTGCCGTTGCGAGCTTTGCGCTCTTCCTGCTGAGGAAATGATCATGAGTGACGCGCGCCGTCTTCAAATTGGAGACCTCAATACTATGATTGGTGATCCGATGACGATGCTGAGAAACCCACTCAAAAGTCTTACAGCATGCCACGATTTATTCCAGGTTCTCAAGAAGGAGTATGGAGACGCGGCGACTGCGCTCCTGGCAAGGCTTTACTACGATGCCTTCCAGATCACCGCCGCCCATGGAGACCAGGCTCGAGCAAGTGCATTCGCCGAGAAAACGTACATGGCACGGGTCGAATGTGAGGGCGAAGACAGCCCACTAACTCAGAAGGTCAAAGACTTTATGCAGAATCCAACCAAACACATCACTTTTGGTGCTTATTCTAATGAGTGGAAAAGCGCCAAGACCGGGGGACCGAAGAAGCTGGATGCGGCAAGCTTTGAGAAGTGGCTGTGGAAATTGTCGAACTAAGTCCACTGAGTTGCAAAAGCTAAAAAAGACACTGACGTCTCCGTATCAACTGGAAACCACTCGTGAAACTCCTCAAACATTCGAGATCTTATCTTCACTAGCTCTTTTCTATTATGCTGTCATGCAGTCCATACAATGAAAATCAGGTTCAGCTTCCAGATTTTAGTGCAAAAACATTTTTAGGCCAAGTCCCTATGGGGCTAGTCCACAGTGTGAAATCTAGTGCTTGGAGTTAGCTTGTTCTCATAAGCCTGACAGAAAATGATGCGAGTGAGCCTGGTTCAACCACTGTACCACGAGGCAAAAGCTTCGGTAATGAGCGAACTTGCTCATTACTACCCTGTTCCACAATATATAGTTACGCCGCACAAAGACCCAAATGTGCATCTGTAACATCTGCGCGCGCCAGAGTGTTGTCTTCGTGATAGATAATCTTTTCTAGAGAGGAGGTTTGACCAGCCCCAGAGATCAAGCTGTATACTCAGTTCAGCGTAAAGTATCTCGAGGCATCTCGAGTAGATGCCTTGGGCCTTGATGCCTGAGGACCACGAGCCTCCATGTTGCTCTTGCCTGAGGAACACCAGCTTCCACGCGGCACATGTCCTGGGCTTAGTCATTCCATCCCTCCATCATGGTCAAATATCTATCCACAATGTAATATATTGAAAGGGGGACGCGGCGCAATGCATTGCATATCCTGCGACTCAACACCCAGCTCAACTCAGACTTGTGTAAATGAGGCGGAGAGATTGAATCAATTGGTAAGTAAATATCGATCTCAGGCGATAGATCAACTAATCGTATATTGGCGTTAAAAGGCTAAACTGTAATTATTATTAATATTTGCACTTTTTAAGAGGGCTGTTAAAGTGCTTTCTATTCTGAGGTGCTTAACTATCATACCTCTTTAAATATTATCTTATCCATGCCTCCTTCCTCCGCGATAGGGGCAATTGATAGCATGACTGGCGTGGATACGACCTGCAAGCCAGTTTAGACCATGCTGCCCTTCACATGAGCAACCTCGCAGTGGAGGTGGAGGTTCCTCGCGAGACCAAAATAGATAGATGCAGACGACGGCAACCGCAGCGACTACTAATGGTGCAGCCATAACGAGGAAAAGCCTAACGCATAGAAGACTACCGGAAGTTGAAAGTCAGCAAAGCTGATAATTGGGAAAGACCTTGAAACCAAGCGAATAAAGAGTATCATAGAGTAGATAATAAGGCTCTGGATCTACCGGCCCCTCAATGTGCCGAAAAGTCCAAGGTTAGGCAGCTGAAGTAAGGCAGCCAGATAACGTGACAAACGATGGTGTAACAACAAGGGAGCAGGAGTTTGGAGCAAACACGTGACCATTTCCAAAAACCTGGTGGAGGGGTCTTTTGATCTGTCGGGAGTGGGGGCGGAAACATGCGTATTCAACCAATTAACAAAACAACTGTACTGCCTATTACAACGCCGAATATCTTAGATAGGTGTATCTAATGCTCTGATCAGATGGCTTCTGACATAGCTGCGTAATCCGCGTTCCGAAGGCTCGTCGTTGGCGTGCGTTGGCTTTGTTGCGATGCTGACTGTGAAATGAGGCTACAAAGTCTTCATATGAACCGTGCGACACTTGTCACTCCCCATGTTATATATATTGCAGTCTTCCAGTTGATTTGCAGCACTCCTATGCTCTCCTCTAGCATGCTTTTCATGCCATTCGCGCGCGGCATTGACTGTTACGTGCGTACATTCACGTTCCCGTAGCAGCGCCTTGGTGTAATCGACATCAGCCGTTTTCAACTCCCTTCTCAGCATCAAGAGTTCTTATCATCCAAGCAGCACCAGCCAAGGACATTAATTACCTATGAAAGATAAGTAAAATAAGGATGCCGAGGCGGTGGACGGATCTGCAAAGTGAGGGATAGATATAACGAATTTTCGACACCCTGTCTAGTGGGAATTAAGAGCCTAGGGAAATGATAAGTGCATACAGGTTGCTTACTTTTCTACTATACTTTGTATTCTCCATAACGAATGAGAGTCGCGGAGTTAATTGGCGCATTATAATTAGAGACTGAAGGCTGAAGATTGATGAGACTGAGGATTAATGGACACTGAAAGACTGAAGATAGAGGACTGCTAGCAATAGCTTTTTGCTGCAGTCCCTCTTTGTTCTATGTTTACTAGAATGTGCCATTGATTAATGATGCGATTTGGTGCAACGTCATAAAACTAGATGCGAGGCAGCTGAACTGAATCTCTTAGGTTGATTAATGTTTATGTACTTATTGTAAGTAGTGACACTTCTCGACTATCAACAACCAAATCCTGCTTTTGTTCGAGTGGATGCAGTGTTGGTGTTCTGCATCTCCAAAGTGAATGCATTTGTTTAAATGCAGGTCAATCCACTAAGAAGTCGTCCTGTTGCATGGCTTGAACCAACACCCCAGTGGTTGTGATTCGTTGTTGACTTTGATAAAGAGAGGTGGTCTTCCGCCGAATGGCAGATCCAAACGTATTGCCATACTTTCACACAATCCTCGTTTTCATGGACCACTTAACTCACTACCCTAACGCCATGCCATACCTGGAGAAGACCTTCCCCTGGAAGCTTGTTTCGGAAATGCTCAATTCCAGTCTCTTGTCATACCGGGACTTTGGTCGGATTGAAGACACTCAATTTCCTAGACCTGATAAGGAGTTGCCTCGTCCACTACCAGAGGATTTCGCCATGAAAGGGCTGTTGTGGATGGAAAGATACTACCCTGTGGATTGGTTCACGAACGAAAATATTGATGACGACGAGAAATACTTCGAAGTCGCTTCCATGACAGAAGAGAGGAAGGAGCGAATCCTTTGGCTAGGATGTCGCCTCGCCAGTCGCCAAAGAGGACTAGTATACAACACGGAATCTCACCGTTTTACAATTCTCCCCGCATTTGAAAGGGACATCAGTAGAGCCAGTCGGCTCATAGCTGTAGACAGGTACGTCTACAAGGTAAATAACGCTTCCTCCGCGTCGGCCTCTTCTGCCTCTAGTTTGCGTTACTAAACAAGCAGTCTCGTGAGAGAAGAAGCCACGAAGGTTCCATTACAAGACCGACCAACACGGATAAACTCCGCACAACGAGAAGACTTCTCATCCATTTTGCACGCCAGGTTTTGTCGAAAGCATCTAGTGCACGGCATATCGGTGATTAAACCAAATAATTCAACGGCAGTAGCCAGAGCAAGACGGTTCAGCGTTTTGCGAGATTTCGACTTTTCAATTCGACTTGACATGATGAGCATGTATCACGAAAACATGAACAACAGGAGGAAACTTACCAAACCAACAAAGGCGCAAGGGCGACCTACTTATATGACCAAGTCTTAGAGGGCTAAGACTAAGAGAGGGATGACCTGATGTCACGAACGCAGGCTATACATGCGACCTTAAGTGGCATAGCTGCGGGCACGCCATGTGGAGACAGTTGGAGCCTTAAACGGGGTATGAGACAAAGGACCCAGGTCACGTGACGAATATTGGATCACTGCCAAGGACAGTAAGCCATACTATAAGGATCACTTGGGATCACGGTGAGCCAACCGTGAGCCTCACTGCTAAGGACAGTGAGGCAGGACATCAGTGAAGGAATGAATGGATATAATATGGATTAAGTTTCCTACTCTACATAGACAGTCATTACTTCAGTGATCAATCTAAGCATCTATCTTACTTTTAGGTGAAGCTAAAGCTTTGACGACTACACTTGTAAATCTCTATTACTTAGTATACTCTAAAGGTCTATCTCTATAGTCTTCTCTTTGCGGCTAGCATATCTTGTTAGCATAAACCCCCCTTGCATTATATTATTTGCGGTTGTGCAACCCGATAGTATAATCGTCACAAGCTTACGTGTTCTTAGAAGTAACTATAATCACCTAGGTATAAACGCGTGCTCGGGGAGCACTGTGGTTTAAATGGCTATGAGGGATAGTTACGGTCATTATATTAGCTACTTAATAGTACCTATACTATCATTTCACGCTTAGAGCGTTACACTTACGATCCCATGCTTAGGCGAGCACCGTATTCACTATCCTATGCTTTAGTAGATTTAGGCTCTTCCTTTCAGTGCATTACACCAGACCTTTACTAGAATAGTCCTCTATATCAACTGTAGAAACTGTTATAATTAGACTTAGAAAGGTTAATAAACTTCACTCACGGATTTTCAATGAACTATACTCCTTGTCTTTTAAACGACTAGTGTACGAAATAATGAACTTTAGTAAAATTCATTGAACATTTAATAATAAGGTGAATAGTCACCCATTTCTCTATCATGGCTCCTTCCTTCTTATCTCGTCGCTCTTTCACCGTTTCCTATACAAAACCTCTATCATGGCCATCTCAAGATTCACAAACAATTCCCATCGTCTTTCTAATCCTAACATCATTTACATTAACGATGACAGCAGCGGCGAAAGTAGTGACGAAGACTATATTGCTACGTGTCATACCACCAGGAAAAGCATTCCTAACGTCGAACTAGAGTTTGGTGGCAGCAACTCCATTAACGCATACGCAGCCAGTGTGTCACTGGCATCCGATAACGCTGATGCCATCATTACTGCTACTAGATTCGAAGTCCCCAACGACCTAAGTAATATACCCAACGCTACTACGTCCTTTAATAAGGATGCTCTTAGTACAGAAACGTATGAGCCCGTTATCTGTTCTCGTAACAACAGTGTCAGCAGCAGTGACATATTCACGTTCGAAGATACATACAATGAACTTCAAACTTTAAAGTAAATTGTCGCAGCGTTGCTACTCAAAACTCTGTTGTTATGGCTTCGCGGGCACCTAGAAGCCCTCTGCACGAGGATAGCTTGTAGCATTAGTGAAACGTCCATGACCTCATTGAAGTAACATAGCAACCGATGCACTATCATTGTCATGGTAGGAAGTTTCGAGGCTGCGGTTGTATAGGACGTGCTTTTTGGTAATCAATGTATCTCTGAACCAGAGACTAGGCCTGTGATCTATTTGTTTCTGGCAAATCTAGAATTGAATCCTAGCATAGTAAAATGCAATAATTACCACTTCAAACCCCCTCGTGCAACGGTCTCTGCAAATGTGATGAGATGTGCGTCATCATATTGCTTCAACTCTTGCAAGTCAACACCGTACCCTACATCCCTCTGCCATATTTGAGAGGCTATAATAAGATCTCCTTCATCCTCCAGTTTTTGCGCCTCCTCGGCAGTGCGATATTTAGCCTTGATAGGTCCATGGCTGCTGTTAGAAAGAATCTGAACAATCTCATCGATGGTGAGGCTTTCGGCGGCCAAAGGAATTGTCTTTCCAGAATACTTTGAGGGTAAATCAAAGGCATCCGCGCAAAGTCTGGCGATATCCGTGAGGTGAATTAAGTCCAAGCGAGTATGTGGCTTATAAGCCACTACTAGCTCCTTTTTATCAGTGAGACCAGGAAACATATAATCGGTATACGGCTTGTCGAAATTCTGCACGAAAAATGCCGGTTGCATAATAGTCCAATGTACGAACCCAGCACTGCGGATCCTGTCTTCGATCAGGGCTTTGTTAAGCCAATAATCCGCTAATGGGTAGTCCTTGCGCCATCTGGGAAAATTTTCATGATCTCCTGTCCGCGCCACGCTGGTATACACCATATGTATCACGCCGGCCTCTTTGGCAGCCTGAATGACGTTGGTCGCATGAAAAACTTCACTACCCAAGGCTCTCAAGACCAAGAACACGCCGTCCACATTCTGCGCTGCAGATCGCAACACATTAATATCATCCAAGTTGCCTGCGTGGATAATAGCACCACGGCCCGACAACTCTTGGGGAACTGGGCTCGAAGGTTCTCGGGTAAAGATATGGACCTTATGGCCACGACGTAAGAGTTCTGAGGCTAAAGCCGAACCCTGCTGTCCGGTTCCACCAATGACGAGAATAGACTTGGACATGATCGAAGAAAGATTGTGAAGACTGTGATGTGGATGAAGATTGGTGGTCGCATGAGCGGAAGATTTGTGATTCTCAGTCACCCTTTATACCCTGCGTTCATTATCCGCCAGACGTTGTGAACTTGAACTACGAAGTCCAATTTTGAGACAACTTGATGCAGACGGACATTTTTCGGTCGGGCTAGATCCGACAGACGATGTTGGAGGAGCACTGGTACTTCATCCACTGTGTTTTGCTAAGATATTAGTGGTCAGTAAATGGCCGCGTGGATTGGTTGGCTATAGAGTGGCGGCCAATTTTCGGCCAATTTTCCAAGCACACAAGCCCAGGTAAGCCGATCCTATCTTACAAAGCAAGCGTCCTACAAAATTCATAGAGGCCATTACGAGACGTATTTCTGCATCACAACAGAACTCAAACTCAGGAATTTTTACAAATCACTAGGTAGATTTAAGTGCCGTGTATTTCTCTTGGACGTCATTCATCAGGTCGGATTTGAGATGACCAACTGCAAAAACTGCGCCGTCTAGCATCACGACTCACATTCACAAATCAGTCCAGGAACCAGCTACCATTCTTGATTTTCTTCAGTTTTTTATATCAAGACCTCCCTGCTAGTACATCATCCAAGCTTTCAAGTTGTTCTAGCAGATGTTCCAAAGTTTGATTCGTTGCGTCGGTCGTTCCGTAACCTACTCCAGACACGCTTCTCAACTCATCGATATAGGCGGCACCCATGTCTCTTGCCATCTTAAGAAGATTGTGTCGATTTGCATCGATAGTTGAGCGTGGGAAATGGGAAAGAACCTCCACAACATCGCTGTAGCAAGCTCATGTTAGCATCTTATCCACAATTGAGGTCCTAGGTTCCTTGCTCTGAACTCTACCATTCATACCGCACCTATGAATGTTGTATAGTACAGACAGTTTGCCTCAGTAAGAAGCTTGGAAGCCAAAATCGACATACTTGACTATGATTTGGTGTGTAGGATGTCGCAAACTCGATGAGGCAAAGTGCTGGAGGAAGTTCGACTTCACGTAAAGACTGCTCACCAGAATGTTTACCATCTGTACCTCGTGGCCAAACGTTGTCCGGAGGTCGCGAGATAAGGTACCCCTCCAACGCAGCTCCGGGGGAAGGTCGTCTATAACGTGCTGGATATGATCGATCCCAAGACGTAATGTCTCATCAGGGGTCTGATGTATTCTGTTCTGTTTGGCATGACGCCATGCCAGAAAGATGTTGACATATGCCTTGAGGCCAGAAACATAGTCTATTTTGTCTTCATCAGTCTGGGCTATCTCTGTGGAAATGTCCAAGTCTTGCTCGAGCCCGCTATCGCTGACCGATTTTGGGAGGAGCTGGGCGAAGGGTTCGTCCAAGGAATGCAAGTTTAAGTATGACTGGACATTTGTGTTCGCTCCACTTAAATAGAGTCAGGTTATAAAATCCTTAGGAGGACGGAGTACTTACAGATCCAACGCCATCAAAATACAATAAAGTCTTTTCGAAATTTCCTTATCATGAAGTGACAGCTCGTCAAGCTTGTGTGCCATGAGCCACTGAACTCCAGCCATAGACTCCTTAATGGCATGAAAAAGTGGAAAGTCGGCGCAAACATACTTATCCCTTAATAAAGTCCATGCCACGTTGTATTGAGCAATGCACCAGTCGAGAGTGCATTCGTCAATGACGAGTAAATTGTGGTGCTTGATGAGATGGAGACAGCGTAAAGCTGTCGCTTTCCCATATCTCTCCGAAGCACTCTCACGGAGCGTCATGTTGGTTGCAGCACATACAGAAAGCACGAGGGCGACGAAGATTGGATCCCTGTCTGCTTCATCACTTTGTATTCTCGACAGGAACCATCGTCTATGCAGTAATGGTATTAGTGGATGCATAAACTTGAACCAGTCATCCAAAATTTGAAGCAGTAGTGTCTTAGGTCCTAGCGAGAGAAGAATCTCAGATCCTTTAGAAAGAGTTGAATGTACTGCGGAGGGAGATGCATGTTCGTCCAGGCTTGAGGTCGACGAAATGCTGGGTGTGATCGTCGAAATGGGTGGGGCCGCCAGGCGCCCATTCACCCGATCACCTGAAGCATAGCTAGGAAATTATCAGGAATAGGGCGGCATTATGTGATGACCATTCAACTTACCGATTTGGCCTACCTCTCTTACGATTCGGGGCGGTCTGAGTACAACTGATTCCAAGGGCGATGCAGCCATCACAAGCCGGGGAACCGTCAATTTTTCGACGACACTTGTGACTGTTTGTTAACAAATGACAGACATCCAACATGCTGCACTAGTAGTAATACCTTGATCTTTCTCTTGCGACAAATATCGCATGCTCTCTGGATATGTGCCGGGCTGACGGCTTGCTGGTGGTCAAGGCTAGTCATGACATGTAGGTTAGTAATGTCGGTAATAGCCCGGGGTCCCTGGCTCTTTACCAACGTTAGATGCTAGGAAAGGGTCGCCAGCGGCCGAAGCGTAGAGAGAAGGATTGGCAATCTATCCGATCTGAGCAAAGGAAATATTCCATGTCCTGGGGCTACTGGCCGGCCGGATTGCGCATGAATTTCGGATAATAGTTTAGTCATTGGGACTAGCGCCATGATGGACACCTCTTAAATCGGACCTAAGGCGGAGAGTTTTCGGATCATTTCTAGCTGTTGTCACTTACGTTATCGTTTGAGGTCTTAAGTTAAAATCTCAACTTCGTTGTCAGTAAAAATTGAGTGTTTCTCATCACGACTGGTGGATAAGTTGTAGTATAGCGATTGTCCTATGGAGAATTAAAGTAGCATCTTTTTGAGGAGAAACATTTACTAATTTTGTACGTGGATCCCGGGACTCCAGAGTATTGATACACTTCTGTAAACTGAATCGGACTTTTCCAGACATTTCAGGCTTTTAAAATTGTCCGATACTCAACTTCATGTGCAACAGAGAGACACTATGGCTTTTTAGTTTAACCCTGATTCGTAAGCACTTAGCACACTTGATATCACTTCCATGACACGAACCGAGACCTGATCTCATTCCATGCAGATCTTGCCACTGAGGTGTATGTAAGTTGTACCACAGTAGGAGGCGCATCGTCGGCGGGGTGGTGGGACTCGGCTAGCGGTGATCGGCCTGTGGAGCTATCGAGCTACTTGTTGTCATTACCGTCATGGGGATGTGTGGGGTTTTTGCAGATACAAAGTACTAGGTTAGGTTAATCAACGAATAGGCTCTAGGCGCCTTGCCGTAAACTTTCGCACTCGTTGGAATACAGTACGTGATGATAGTGAGAACCATGGTGCCTGCGTTGGTTCGACGTGACAAATGTCGTGAGGCTGAGCTCTTATAAGCAGCCAACCCCGCACAGGACAATCAACGTACTGTACAGTACAGCAATGTTGTTCAACTCATCAGAAAACTCAGTGTCAGGTATAATGTAATGGAACTTGTTGATGCAATGACTAGATTACAGACCTTGGTCGCCGGTTCGTTGTTCAAGCAGAATCCGATTGTTCTTCGAAGGAAGCAGGTGCGCTAGGAGCTAGGCTAGGCTAGACTGATAGTGCCATGAGCTGCAATTTAGCGGGCTGCGGAGTGTAGCGCACAACCGTAAAATTCGAGCTGCAGGGTGTCGGTTGGTCATTGATGTTTGGCAGACCAGAGCAACCATGTCTACTGTACAGTAAAGTAGTGGAGACAAAGTACTTTGAGGTCCTGCAAGGGATGATGTATCCACCAAGAGGGATCAGGTGGTGGGATGCCACAAGAATACCGGCATATCTAACAGCCCTCGATAAATTCTTATTCAAAACACCAACGCAAGCCAGTTTCTTAGATAACGTTCCAACGCTCGTCTCGCAACTGCTATTTTAACGCTGAAAGGCAGGAGAAACTGACCAAATTCTCAGTAAGTACGTGTTGATTAACCGAAGCTAAGTATGGAGCCATTCGATCCGAGCCTTGACGTCCTCCCGTTTGACCAATGCATCCCATGGATGCCTTCTCCACTACATTGTTCTCCGTCTGTATCAGAGCTTGGAAGTCCCAGTCAACCCCATCTAGGTCCCGATTCGCTTCGTCATGGTACGTATGTATCGCATAGTCGAGTTGTCCTCCCATTCATGGATGCGACTTCTTAGGAGAGAAACCTGCCAAACGACGAGAATAGACCTAGACACATTCGCTACACGCTGCAATGGAATTTAACAGTCAACGGAAGAGCCACTGCGAAAGACACGGAACAGGATATCACAATCTCTCCCATTGACTTCTGGAACACAGACCTACATGACAAGATCGACAAGCTCGTGGCAAGAAACCGTGTTACTCACGCTGCCGCTCAAGTCTATGAGACCAGCTTGACAGTGTCAGTCAACGAGAGACATGAACTTGATCTTGCAAAGCGGGCGGAACAGCTTGACATCAAATGGCAGGAGATTGTGAGACATCTACAAAGATGGAGCTATTATCTCCGGTTTGGAAAGCGACTGCTTTTGATGATCGCTTTCAAGCTCTCTAATAAGAATGGGCCTGGAGCCAGCGTGGGAGGGCGTAGACGTGGACACCAATCGGCTACTACAGTACAGCTTTTGTAACGTGCTCTACAGCTGGATGCAGAGGAACAATCAACCGATGAGCCGTCTATTTGGCGACATGTGTATAACCTCATGCGATGTCCCGGGCCCCCTTGTAAACTTGGACCCCACTGCTGGCGTGATATGACTACTGGTCGACACTATAAACTCAACTCGTACCATTTTAATCGCCTCATAGAGTATGTGAGGGAAGGACATCGGCTCGAGGTACATAAAGATGTGCCCAGAGAAATCCAGCAGTAGCTCTACAATAAGCCAAACCACGATGAACGTTTGACTAGTAATCTCCAACGAGTGAATGGTCCGGTGAGTCTCTGCCCAAACAAAACCGAGGCACTCAAGGTGCAACATTTCGGCTTCTAGTCCGTCTTGATCTCGTCGGAACGAGAGACGAAAACGTCGTTAAATATCTATCTTGCCAAGCATCACAGGTGGCCAAGGTGCAACATACTCATACTCGCAGCCACGCTGGCCAGCTTAGTAGAAGCAGCCACCCCTGCTCAAGCTCCAACGCTACGGGCACAACAACTGTTGTTCTCCCAGCCGGTACAGTCATAGGCTCCGTGGTCAATGGCGTCGAATACTGTCGCGGCATCCCCTTTGCCCAACCTCCCACTGGTTCTCTGAGACTGTAGCCCCCAGTACGCCTCGAGACTTTCGGCTCGGTCCAGGCTACCGGTGTTGGCCCCGCATGTCCTCAAATGACAGGGTTAAACATCACGCCACTCTTGCTTGATGTGATTATCCTGCCCGACGTCGAGGAGACTCTATACTTTGGAACGTCATTGGGTGACGAGACTGAAGATTGCCTCACCATCTCGGTCATGCGGCCAGAAGGCACCGCAGCTGCTGCGAAGCTGCCTGTTCTCTTTTGGATATTCGGCGGAGGCTTTGAGACGGGTAGTCCACAGGCTTACAACGGATCGGTCCTTATCCCCCAATCAGTAGGTCAGGGCAAGCCGATGATTCTTGTAGCCGTCAATTATCGCCTCGGTGATTTTGGATTTCTTGGAGGCAGTGAGGTTTTGGCCGATGGGGCAGCCAACCTAGGTCTGCTCGACCAGCGTATGGGTCTAGAGTGGGTGGCAGACAACGTTGCGGGGTTTGGTGGTGATCCCGATGCGGTCATCATATGGGGTGAGAGCGGTGGCTCTATGAGTGTTTTTGATCAGCTTGCAATTTTTGATGGCAACAACACTTCCAAAGGCCGGCCGTTGTTCCGAGGTGCCATCATGGATAGCGGCAGTATAACACCCACCGAACCAGTGGACAGCGCTAAAGCCCAGGAGATCTTTGACACAGTGGTCGAAGCAGCGGGATGTGCGTCAGTGGCAGATTCAGGTAAACTCGAATGTCTACGAGGGATCGGCTATGAAACGTTCTTAAAGGCAACGAACAGTGTCTCCACTTACCTGAGCTATAGCTCCCCGGCATTCAATTATGCTCCTCGCCCAGACGGTCGGACTCTCACTGCCAGTCCGGAAGTCCTTGCTGAGACAGGGAAGTACGCAACGGTCCCGATAATCATCGGCAACCAGGAGAATGAAGTAAGTGCGTCGTTGCAATGTCGTATACATAACGCAATGAACTAAACGTAGGCTGAGGGAACAATATTTGCTTTATTCCAGACCAACATCACACCAAAGCAGACTTGATCTTCTATCTCAACGATGTCTTCTTCCATAATGCGACAAGTGATGAGGTCGCAGCCCTCGTCGATACCTATCCCGATAATCCCGACAGCCCCGCAGGCATAGGCGCGTCAAACGCTACCTACCCAGAATTCAAACGGCTCGCTGCCATTCTGGGCGACTGGGAATTAACATTCATGTCCCGGCTCCTCTTGGAAACGTTCCCCTTCAATGTACCTGCGTGGTCATACCAAGCGACATACGCAAATGGGACTCCAATTCTCGGTACTTACCATAGTACCGATGTGCCTCATCTGTTCTACGAGACCGATGATGTTAGCACGGCCATTCAGGCTCTGTATATCTCATTTGTGGATTCTTTGGATCCCAACAACTACGCGGCCGGGACTGCTTGCGGGTACTTGACTCCCTGGCCAACGTGGCAGGAGAGAAAGCAGCTATTAGAGCTTGGAGCTCAATCTACCCGGCTTATATATGATGATGCGAGGGCTGCTAGCTTTGACTACATCCAGGCTCATTTGAAGACCCTGCGCTTGTAATTGTAAAGCTAAGTTGAGAAATGATATTTCTTAATATAAGGATTCGTAATATATATGTGACGGGCCATGGCCCGGCATAGGGCCTCGGCACCCCTTCGGCCAACTGGTGGCAAGACGGACCCACGAGTACGGTTCAAAGACCTAGAAGCTCGGATCACCGAAAACCCCTTCAAAAAATCAAGATCGCTCACGAAAGGACGTGTTTCCTTCCTTTCTTTCGCTAGGTAAGAATACTCGTATATAGTAGGAAAAAGACCGTTGAATAAACCTCTTGAACGCTTATATTATTCTAACCTCCCTCTTGAGATATCGATGAGTGCCTTTGCCGTCATGCGGGGCCAACTTTTGCCTACACTAAGTATACACACCCAATTTCGGACCCACGAGATGCAGCGATTCTCATTGGAGTACTCAATCTTCTGCAATACTCCACTGGCGCGCTAGTTGATCAGCGAGACTGAATGATAAGACTCAGCCCCCACCTTAGGGTGTCTACACAAATTAGGAGGCAAGATATCATAAACCTTCTCCGGTCTAGTACGCTAGGCGGGCCCTGTCGTAGACCGTGACTCTCTATGTCAGTCCGGTAGCTGCATTTCACACTTTCTGAGATATATCGTCCATACTGTTTTTGCGTCGCTTTCCTAATGTACAAAGTAGGGAACGATATAATTAAGTAGTTATTACTCCTTCAAATGTTTTTTAAACATTTATTAAGTATATTAAAAGTGGATCTATTAGGGATTATTCCTAAGAACTTAAAGTTCTTAAGTTTTCTTTCGTCTTTAGAGACATTTCGAGACTCTTTTACCATATCCATACAGTGCATCGTGTTATAAAGGTAAGCGATCCAGTGGTCGGTAAATTTCAACCGTTTGCGCGGCAAATAGCCCTCCTAGTAAGTCTAGCCACGCGTGGCCCACACCGACGTAGAGAGTTGAGCTGACGTATACGGGAATACTTGACAAAGGGTGACATTGTCGAAGGTAAGGTGTTCCTGTGAGTAGGATCTCTACTTGCTAATCCCTGGTAACTCATACGAGGCGTCTTTACCAGCCGCCACTACTAGCGTTAAATATGCACCAGAATGAATCTTATCCATCTGAGCAATTTGGCTCTTTTTCATTAGGCCATCGCTATTAATACACTATTCGGTGCTGTCAGATAAATTTCTCCAGTCATGCTATTAGATTAGGGTGTACGCATCATCTTACCAGTTTGTCCACCTAGAGATACTGCTCACCAAGTGATCTGGTTACATTGATAGCGTCATCCACAACTCGAGAAACGCCGAGTTCAGTTTTGGTATTGCCCCAGATCTACGACAGAGCAAAATATCTGCAACTTGCAGGCGCCTCGATCAGCATCAACGTTTCCGAGGAGCACTCGATAACCCGCAGTCCTTGCACCGCGCTGCTGCCGCCAGCGATAGTTTGCAGGTTTTCCAATGATGTCTAGTGCACTGCTCTAACAAGCTGTTGATTAGTTCAAAATCGGCTTCTGTCGAAACTTTCCACGGCCCGGCTTCAAACACTTGCTTTCAAGATAGCTGAACAGCCACCCTCGTACCAATGCTGGGCAATACGATGTCCGTCTATTTCGTCGCGGAGCTTGGCCATGCGTACGAGAAACAGCAACGTATAGTCTAGGCGCTCTGTCAAGTCATGCTTACGCACGACGCGGTGCATAATTGCGCGTGACGGTACGATGGTAACTAGGCGACAAGGCTGGTTTCAAAAGCTATCGGGTACAATTCGAGCGATTAGCCGACACACAGGACAAGGCGAGTTGCTCAGAGCGTGTCGGTCTACGTAGAATTGATCCGACACGGGTCTCCCTCCACTGGATACTGGCAGATCATCAGCCAGTTTAGTCCATTCTATGCGATGGCAACAATGGCACAAGGTAAGGCTAACGTCAGTAGAGGAAGTTGCTGCCACCCGCTCCCTTGCCAGGGTTTGACTTTCGCTGGGATCCCTCTTACCTTTCTGCAAGCTAAGAGGATATCTAATACGCAACTTTTGAGAAGATGTGCATTCCATGACTGATCAGAAGTGCTCGAGGACGTTTTCAGATGTGCAGCTTTTGTTTCGCGCAGGAACGTGGGTTAGCACAACAGTCTGAGCAATGCAAGAGATCCATGGTTACCTCTCCCAACCTCGCCCTTTTGCGCCCAATTGGCCGATTAAACTCCATAATGCAAGAATACTTGCACTTCGCCACAGCTTTTGTCGAGAGCTTGTAGTATAGATACTGTAGTCTGCATAAGGCTCGGTCCTTGGGACGGACTGGAAATCGACTCATCATCATCATCATCCTCATCACCATATGATCATTTACAATCCTGTAACTAGGCTCGACCATATTCGTCATGAAATTTCGTCTATGAGCATATTGTTTGTTTCATTGAAGATTGCAGAAACCCTGGCGATAGGGTCAGCAGTACTCCCGACAGGCGTATTCAGAGCTGCTGACAAAGCAAATAAATCAAACTAAAGCTCTTGATTTCTTTGATTTACGCTAATATCGCAAATTGGTCAAGTTCATTTATTTGTATATCACACTTTATAAATCAAAGCGGAATAAAAGCTCCGGGCCAATTAGAGAGCTTCCTACGATCCGAGTGTTGTTCCGTTCCGAGGATCTTCCGCGGCAACACGCTTCTAACCACTGTTTTGATCGTAAACAACTACGCGTTACTTAATAAACACTACCTTCCTCGAAATCCTTCGCCTAACGCCGTACGCATATAATAGCTTTAAGCATATCTGGTTCTATTAATTAACGTTACGCGGTTATATATAGCTTCCTTTCACTGAAAAGCTGTTTAACTTTAGCGCTTATAACGGGGAATAAGAGAAGATCCACGGCTATTTAGTAGAGATAGGGAAACTAGCTAGCGTGGTCGTGCCACCAAAGTAACGGGTCAACGTATTTGAGCACTTGCTTTTTGGTTTTTCTGAAATATATTAAAGTAGGCTATAGGCCAATCAGCAGGCTAGCTTTAGTGGAAAATTCTCGTATTTTAACGCAGATTCCCGTTCCCTCGATGGTAAACAAAACACTAGAAGTCATCACCATTCGTGGAATCATCTGATATAAACAGTTCACGGGAATTATTATGGCAACACGCAGCTTCTTATATACTTTTCGCCTATATCGGGTTACTTTTTATCACCGAAACGGCTATTGATTTACAAATCGGTCCTATTAAACGATTTATTTATAAAGTAGGCCGAGCCGGATGATTTGCCTAGTTTACGCCAATTTATGATAAATCAAATAAATCTGGTTTGATTTGGCAGCAGCTCTGGGCGTATTGAAGGTAATGTATAAGCGCCAGCCCGATAGTTCGGGACGCTGTGCCTTACTAGTAGTTGACTTAATTGCCTTAATCAGGGGTATTATCTGAAAGTACCCACAGTAATTCTTTAAGCTCTGCTACCTCATCCGGCTGGCATTTAAAGGCAATCTCCAATCCTACGGTATCAAATTTTTACGGCAGCGTAACTTCAAGGTCTGTAGATAGTGCTACGGGTCATCTACCGACGAATGTAACGTAGGGCCCATTCCAACCCCGCGCAACCGGTCGTCATGTTTCTTATCATCCTAGCCCGCTACCGTCTATTGAACGATAAGCTTTTGGTTGGCGATGTAACATGACATTGTGTTGATCCTCGGGTAAAAACGTGCTTAAGATCTCATGCCGCCCTCACTGCCTATGTTGTAATCTTACTAAAGCTACCATCCATCAGAACATACATTAGGCTGCCGTTCACCGGCCTATTATAAAAGAAATAGAGAACTATAGCTACTTTCGCCGGGTAATACTCACCTAACGCGATGCATGGCCTTCGTCGTGCTATCATTTGTGTCGTCGTTGCAGAAGTTGCAGGAGTTGCAGGAGTTACAGGAGTTACAGGAGTCGCAGGGCAAAGACATCTGGAATCCAAGCAACAAGTCATGGAAGATGACGAACAATCAGCCCGTATGCCTCTGGAGAGAAGAGCCCTGGGTGGATAAGATGAAACTAACTTATAAACAGTTGTTCAACCAGTGTATACTATTTTCCCTCTTGGTTCTATCAATCCATTAGGGTGGCTGAAAGACCAGTTAGAGTTGGAAGCCAATGGACTTGCAGGCAATATGTTTGAGTTTTATCGTTTCGTCAACGATTCAAAGTGGATAGGTGGAACGACAGAGTACTCTATCCTAGATGAAGCATCCCCTTACTGGTTCAATGGTCTGGTACCTCTCGCCTTTGGGCTTAACAGCACTAGAATCCAAGGCCAGGTCCGATACTATCTAGACTACGTACTTGACCATCAACAAAGCGACGGTTGGCTTGGGTTCGAGACGACCCGTGAGACACGTGGCTTATGGGCACGCTGTCTGCTTTTGTTAGGTTTGATGGTAAGTCCCCCTTTCTTCTTTTCAGATGACTGAGCCTTCAACGCGTTGTATCTTGTGTGCTTCTTATCTTACGAATCGGACCATGATGAACTTCTAATCTCATGACTCCAAGCAATATGCCGAGGCCGATCCTACTCAAACCGAGAGGATCGTGGATTCCATTCATCGATACGTGGAACTGGCGCATAGCATGTTAAAAGATAATTACACGGGTCTACTCGTGAGTGAAGGTTAAGAACTCCGAAAGGCGCCAATTCGTCTAACCACCACACTCAAGGTACATGGAGACGACGTTTTTGACACTGCTGGGTTTGGCGTCGGCCGCACGCATGAGTATCACATACCTCTGCAATGGCTTTATGAAAAATACCCTCGGAATAACTCGCAAGTCATATGGGAGACTATGGAGCTCATGATCAATGGTGGTGTTTTGGTAGGTATTGTCTCGTCGTAATTTGGACCCCTTGTTGGGCATCAAGTTGATCTGAAGGCCCCGCTGTGGCAACTGACTTGGGGACTCTCTCCAATTACCCAGAGTGATAGCTGATCTTCTTCAGTGGGGTGCAGATTGGAGAACTTTCTTCGTGGACGGCGTGTATCCGACTGTTTACTATGACGGTGTTACTCCTTGGAATCTAAGCTGGGTGTTCCTACACGGGGTGAACCATGCCGAAGGTGGGTGTCGCACAGTTACGCTTGCACAACCAGGGCAGCTTATTCAGCGAAACAGGCCTCCGATATCCTCTCGCCATTTATCGCATGACTCACGATGAGAAGCTCAAGGAACAAACCCGATTCGCGACGGACCTCATCTCAAAATATCACAAGTCACTCTCTGGATCAATAATCGCGGACGAATACATCTCGGATCTCAACCCAAACCGCGGCGCCGAACTTTGTATCGCAGCGGAGCTGATCTTCTCTTGTAGGTACTGCTAAGTTGTGATGCCATACCGAGTTGACAATCGATCACGTGGCTAAAACACTTGATACCCAACCCTTCCAGAATCATGCCAATCGCATGCCAATCGACCTGATCTATGTCACCATAACTAATAGTGCTCAGTGACCTGGATTTACCAATATCTTGCGGATAACGATCTGTTAGTTCCCATCTACTGTGGCCCCGTCGCGATCGGACCAAACCAACTTCCTAGCGATGACTAATGATTTACAGTGCGGACTGGGTAGAACAGGTTGCGTTCAATGCTCTGCCAGCCTCTCTTTCTCCCGACTGGTATAGCCACCAATACGTCCAACAAGAGAACCAGCCTTGGTCCCGCAATCTCACTGAAGGATCGGCGATGTGGACTGATGTGAATTCGTATTCAAACGTGTTCGGATTAGAACCTAATTACGTAGGTCGGTTACTTTACCCTGCCTTTGCTTATTACTGACGACATGTAGCCGTGCTGCACGGTGAACCACCCCCAGGGGTATCCAAAATTCTTGGCCAACTCTTTCGTTGGAACTGAGGACGGTGGCATTGCTCATGTGTACTTGTCTCCGGGAACATTGTCGACGACGTTGAAAAATGATAATCCTGTTACCATCACTGCCACTGGCATATATCCTTTTGGGTTGAACTTGAAATACCATGTTGCCTCTACGAAAGCATTTTCGTTCTACGTTCGTATTCCGACTTGGGCAGGCAATGCGAGCAGTGTCACCGGACCAGAGGAACAGCCCCGCAAACTCATAGCCCCTACTGACAAGGGACTGCAGAAAGTCGATGTGCCTGCAGGCGAGAGCACTTTCACTGTTGATTTGAATACTCAGCCACGTGTAGAACCGAGAGCAAACAACACAGTCGGTCTGTACTATGGCGCCCTGCTGTACAGCTTGGCAATTGATTACAATGACACAGTGGTGGCGGCCCGCCAATACAATACCGAAGCTATTCTTCCGGCCAACACAACCGACGAACACTCGCATGACCATATAATGGTACCGACGAGTTTATGGAACATAGCCATCGACCCTGACCAGATCAAGGTTGTACAGCAAAATGTAATTTCGGTCGCCAATCCCGTCTGGACTTTAGGCGGTCCACCAGTAGAGTTGCGCGTGGCGGCTGTTCAGATTGAGTGGCCCCTCTTATATGACACACCCGATATTCCTCCCGTCAATCCCGTGGTCAAAGGAGAGCCCTTCAGTGCACGATTTGTTCCTTATGCCAGTGCGAAATTGCACATGGCACACCTTCCTGTTGTTTCCCTACCTTTCGTAAACCTGGAGGTTACGATATAACGGTTGCTTCTATTTCATGGAAATTATCGACATAAGAGAGCTAAGAGTTTGTCAGTGCGCTGCACGGATTCGTAGCGGGTGCTAGCTGGGACAGGCAATCTTCTAGAAATGACACAACTTCATGTCGGCGTCGGTCACAAAGTATTATCAAGAATCCTGGTGTCATATGATGTAAGATGTACCGTTACTATTTTGCCTTGGTCTGACTCAATCTTTGTCACGGTATCACGAATCATTGCCCCCGTCTTGCTTTCTAAGCGCGAGTGTCGCTGATTGTTGCTACCATGATCAAGTGTAAGACGCAAATTGAACCATAAAATCTCGCGGCAGCCGAGGGATTAGAGAGACTTCAGCTCCCCAGTATGGTAATCTTGGCCGTTTTATGCTAGTTAGTGGCCTGAGTCTTCAGTCCTCGGTCATCGCTCCTCAAGGCTCCCGTGCTAATTTTAGACCAGCCCTGTAATTAGTAACGACGATTACAAGTCCCTCGTCCGTTGTTCTGTGAGAACTAACAATATGTTGATTGTTTCTCCATAAAAACTAGATCGTACCCCTATCTTCCATAGGATACGAATCTGCTCCTAGGGTTTTCCCGGATTCCATAAAGCGACTTCGGGACCTGATTTGCTGACCCCAGATTAAGAGTGCTATAGGAGTCGAAGTGAGGATAGCTGAAACGATGGCCAGAACTGTGCTTGCGATCTGGAAGCCGAGAGTCGTGTACATGCTCTGAGCAGCAAGTGGAAGAAAAGCGATAAACATGTTTTCTCCCAGCACAACAGCTCCAATCGCGCTTCCAGCATACATGCTGTAAGCGTCTACGATGTAGTGGGCTATGCCTGTCACGACAGCAGTCGATCCGGCGCCGACCATGACTAGACCCACAGCGGGAGCTTCCCACGGGATCCATGAATACGAAGTCCACGCATATATGAACATGCCACCAGACACGCCGATAAACCCTCCTAGAACGGCGGCATAGAGGCGTGCCTCCGGAATTGGCGTGCCTGGCGACTCGGTGTTACGCCGAGCAGAAGAGTAGTACCACGGGTCAGTGACCGAGCAAAATATCCATCCAAGGAATTCGCCCAAGACAAGGGCCGTCTGAACATAACCTGCTTGTACAGCATCCCAGCCATACAAACTAGTGAAGACCAACTCAACCGATTGAGTGAAGAGGTATATGACCCCAAAGCTGAATGCAGACCAAACAGTGGCCACTATGAGAGCCGGCTCAGTGCACAGCATGTATATTGGTCGCCGAACGCTATTCATAACGATGTCCAACACCGGGATATGATGCAGTTCTTCTCTGGTGAAAGCATTTTTGCCTTCTTGTCGAAGTTTTCGCGCACGACGGCCCAATATTACTGAGCCTCGCGACTCGGGCATCGCGAAGATAAACAGCGGGAAAAGCGCCACAGTCCAGATCAGCTCGATGTAGCCAGTCCACCGCCATGGTAGATGCTGAAGGATGACGGCACCGATCGCCGGGCCTAAACTGCTCCCGGCCATGTAGAACAAGATATACATATTAACAGGAATAGTCCTGGCCCGATACCCGTCGAAAACATTGGATGCAATACCTGCAACCGTGTTTGCGAGTATCGACACGCAACCACCACTGAAGAAACGGCAGATGATGAGGGTGGCGAAGTTCTGCGCCAACCCTACTGGGATCAAAAAGCATATGAAGACAAAATACGTGAGAAGGAAAGCAGGTCGCACACCGAAGTCCTCCATTAAAGGTAAAAGTACCAGGGAAAACAGACCACCGCCAATTCCCCACGACGTCACCGACCAGTAAGAATGCGGGAAGACTGTCTCGTCGATGTTGAATTCTGCGTTGATCTCCAAGTGAGCGGTCGTGATTATCGACCCATTAATGATAGAACTGAACGTCGCCAGCAAGCCAAGACTAGTTGCGAGCCACTTCCGACTTTCAGGCCAGTTAACAGGATTTCCTAGATCTTCTGGACCCGACCATTCTACGATGACGACATTCTCGCCTTCTCTGGCATTAGCTGGGAGGCATGCCACGGGAGGAAGATGCGGGAATGTTGGCCTTACCCTGAGGCTCAGGTCGTTGAATAGTAGGCTTTGTTTCCATACCGTGAGTGAAACAAGCTTGACGTTGTTTTGCAGCCCTTGGCGTTATGTTCGTTGGTCGCAAAGCATCCAGTTAGTTGGCGTCAATCGCGCACATGGACAATAGCTCTTTGGGTCCTCCTTGGCGAAGATGGGCTTTGAAGATTTAGAAAATCTATACTTCATGATGGAGAAAGTCCTGAGAATTTTTCGTTTGTAATTCGTTTGTCATTGACATGTCGATGCCATGTCCATCGCAACATAAATCAACACAAACCATTCGAACCGTTCAATGTCATGCTAGATCGTCGCCGCTCCAGTCCAGAGAGCTAGCATGCCGAACCATTCCCGATCAGGGCACTATTCTACAATTCTTACATCGTTTGGCTTCGCCGGGTATTTTGACATATCCACAGCTTTCTCCATTATGCTCTATGAGACGGTTTCTTGTACGTAAACATAAACCTGGGACGATCGTGGAGAGAGAAAGTGGAGAGGGGCGTCACAGTTCAGGCGGTTTCGGCATTGCGACTCAGATGCACGATCAGTATTACAGATAACTGGAGACAACATTTGCAGTGGAGAGACATAAGCTTGTCGGACTCATGATGTTAGGAAGGCCACAAAGCGGTTAGATCATGGAACAACTCCTAGCAGGCTGGTTCAGTTAACAATCCTGAGATTTAGGAGTAGTGGGTCATTTGACAAGTAGTAGCGCATTGCCAGATGTCATCTGTCAAACTTATTGAGTTGCGACGCTCTTTGACGCCAGTTGCTGTATAATGCCATCTGAAATAACGATGTCATGCCTAGTCTAGCAGATAGTGTATAATCTTTAGTAGGGGCATGAACTCGCTAAGTCCTCTACGTAGCGGTCGCATCGACTTGATCCTTTGGTTATCTCGTCTCTTTCACCCTCTATTTATAAACCGAAGTAGAAACTGGCAAAGGGAATAAAGGTGCAATTGGGAATTGAGTTCAGCTTGGCCCCGATGGGCACGATCTTGTGAATTCGAACAATGGCAACGCCGTCGATAGGATTGCATCAGGTTGTGATAAGCTGCGATAATGCTCTGTACCAGTTGCAGATGATATAGTGCGGATTTTGGGTTCACCCTCGAGGTGAATAAAAAGTGGCCAAATCCTCAAGCGCATTGTGGTTCCGTGTGCAATTCATCAGATGGACTTGAAAGAGGAGTTGGTGAAAAGTTGCACGAGAGGACCTTGAGCATAGAAGCCAGATTTATTACTCCACATTCCAACAAAATTCAAGTGCCATATGTCACATCGGCATGATCAGTCGTCATCTAGATCGCTAAGATCGCGATAAATATAGTGTTAACGGTAGAACAGAGGGTATGAATCAACAGTCATGCTCGGAAATAATTGCCAGTCCAGTAAGTATAAGTTGACATGCGATTGATGCACCATGGTCCCCAATTGACAAGTACTTGTTTATTGTTGTTTAATTGAGTGCTGTAGTTCTCGAGTAGGATATGAAAAGATAGGGTCGAGATAATTACTTTAAGACCACGACTACGGATGCTTGAAATACCAACTTAGAATTGTTCCAACAAAGCATCTTGAAAGTCGTTGCTGAGACATCGTTGGTTGGCTAAGACTGAGATTCTTGTTAGGTAGATAGTGACGAAAACAGCTTTTGTCAAAAGTCGAGGACCTCCTAGTATGGCGAACCAAATTTGGCCATGTTATGCAAGTTACCAGAGGTAGAATTCTGAATGTTCTTGGTTAGCAACAAGCCAAATTCCATTGTACGATACGAAAGATCAGAATGAAAATCTCTGACAGGGTTATATCTGCAGGAGCAATGGGTAGGCAGGTTGGATGGATCGTTGACGGTAACAACCGGATACTCTTTGTCCATTGATGTTCGGAATTTCTCATTCCATTTCAAGCTTGTGCATATGGTAAATAATTTTTCCTTGCGCCATACCACACTCGCCCCTAAGTTCATGTATACCATTGAAGATGCCAAGCGTCTCTGCCCTTGATGGTGGACTTGAATTTCATGTTACAGGCATGATTGAAAATGCAGTCCAGACTCCCCCGCACTAATGTCACAGTCATGTGCCAGTTTTGGGTGACGGTCGCAATATCAGCTCAGGCATGCAAGCGGTGTTATCTTTGAACGACTTGTTGTGCGTGACTCGTCGCTGGATTTGGCTGGGGCAAGGGTACAGGAAGCAGTCTGCTTGGTTGCGCTAGCCAACTCTTTGGGGAAGATGAAGAATTGCCTAATGTATGAATAAGGATGAAGGCGGGTCTCTGTAATGAGCTTCGGCAATGGGTTTGCGAATGCGATTCGATTATAAACAGGTCGTTTCGTCTCGAAAGAACCTCATAGTCGTCAACGTCGAAATACTGGTCGGCTTTTATTCATTACCATCCTCATTGGTAGGCTTAAATCCTCTTCGCCGCCGGAGTTTTGTGTAGTATCATCGGTCTACCTCGTCGCTACCCTCACCTCTCTACTTCGTTGATCATATCTGCTAGGGCTGCCCGGACTGACACAACCCAGCAAGAATCTCGAAATCTGGCCAAGGAGGCCGATTAGCCCAAATTAATCCCTCTGTCCAAGCAAGTCCAAGCAGGTTCCTCATACAGGTCTCTACCGGTGTTCGAAAGCTATTGCCTTCTGGCACGCTTGGAGGACATCAAGGCGATGGGGAACATGGCGTCGCGTTCGCGAGATGGTCGAGCAGCTCGTACAGGGAGGTATCGGTAATTACTCGAGATCAGTTAGCTGACTGACAGACCGAGCAATTGAAAAAAGCGATCCGTGATACGTTGCGGCAGTAAGATTGATCGAAAAGCGTTCGGCGAGAGCTCATCAATAACAACAAGAAGGAACAAGCATGTGCGTCAGAGATAGCCAATAGACTAGGAATCGATCCAGCCTCAGTCGCGCATTGCAGAGAGGATCGGGGCAATCTGGCGAGAAGACATTAGCCTTGAATTCGAAGATGCAGGCCTGACAAGCGTGATGGATGATTTGTGGTGGGACACTGGCAGGCGGGGATGTCAATCGCAGGATCGACGCGGTGGGCATGGCAAAGCTGGAGTCGGACCTGCGGTGGATGTTGAATGGTGGAACGCCGTCCCCTACGTATGGGTCGTGTGCCTACTGCACCTATAATTACACGTCCCTAAGGTTTGAAGATTCAAATCTCTCGTGCGACTCTGGCCGGATAATTTAGCGCTGCATAACGTGCAAAACTACGGAGCATCTAATGTCACTCGGCAGACTGTCAGTGTCCTTGCATTTTGATGCCAATGAACGGCTACAGGCCTTCCTATAGGGTGTAACCAATGGGTAGCGCTGAGCTTTTGAGTATCCCTAGCGGCCGGGATTTATTTACAAGTCTGCAGACGATTTCAAGTCCACATCAGAGCGGCTATGCAGAAGATCTAAGGTTAGACCACGGATGTCGCTACCAAAAGTCTTCGCCCGCTTGATTCTGTGTAGCCAGCTGAGACGGTCCGCTCCCAGCTGAGAGCAGAACTATCTTAAGGCACTCAAGCGCTAAATCCGCTAGAGACTCACTAAATAGGGACCACTACGGAGCGCTAAATCCGTTAAGCAAGCCCCTCTAGAAATTCACATTCAGCAGACGACTCTAGCACCAGCTGGGTCACCTTAAATCAATCCGCTCTGCAGCCGTTAAGGTACGTACAAAATGTCTTGGCGGGCGAAGACTTCTGGTAGCGGCATCCGTACTGTTTACATAATACGCAGCAGGTCCCTGAGCCCAATCGGGTACCGAACCTACTCAAGGCCAACGGCAAAATTAGAGGTACTTCACGAGGCTAGAGGGCACCCACCAGCTGGGTACTTGTTAAAGGGGATCACCAACCTCGAAGCCGCCATCAGAATGAAGGTTCACAAACCCCCTCGACGACATTGAAGGCACCATTTTTGCCACCCACGAAGCCGCGCAACAAGCGATTTATCAAGCTGTGAAGAAGGCGGGCTTCGCGGTAGCTTTGAAGTCGAGAGAAAACCGCAATACTAAGGGTATTGTGTGTAGGTATACCTATCATTGCTTGCTGCGCCCACGGCGCCTTCAAGAAAAGGCCAAGGTCGTACTGATACTACGCGACCGACCTCGTCGGCAAAAACCTGAATATGTAAACGAACAAACTCGATGTTCCATAATTGACAATTGTTCAAGTGATATTAAAGGGCCTGTTCCAAGGAAGATCCGACATGACGAAAGGTGGTGGCGCTGTATTGCGAACTATGTTGCAACCGGAAGTGAGAAGCGCGATTGCACGTTTTGTGGAAGTTCAGATTTGCCAGAAAGCCTAGCCCGCTACAGTTAATACCTTAAAACCAATCCCGTCAAATCTGGAGCACTTTACTTCAGCTAACGTTCTTGCTCCTGTCTTACTCCAGTTTTACTTCAGTTTTGCTTTAGCCTTGTTCTAAATGTGCTGGTGGTCACCACCCACCAAACGGTAGGGGCATTGCTATTGACGACACGGGAAATGATGCGCGACCGCTAGTAGCTGGTAGTCACAGGCGCAGTCATGGCACAATTGATGAATTGCCAAAGCCTTTCCGACAACCCGCTGCATCGTCCGAAATAATGCCGCGACAAGGCCTAGAATGTCGGCTTAATTCTCACTTTCTGGAGCCGTGGGTGTCTCCCTTGCACGATTGATGCTAATGCTCGTCCTTCAGCAACTTCAAACGTCACGGCTTTACTAACTTGTATGGCTTATCTCTGTAAAGCTGGCTGTCTAGTTGTGGCAACAAATATATACCCTGAGATTACCATCGTTCTATTGACGGTGGGCCCACTGTTTTTGAATGTCACGCTAGCACTCTGGTTATTTGCTGTCCTTAAGCTCTCATTGATAGGGAGATTGCGAGAAACATGATAGGACCCTGCCATGATAATAGATACAGTCGTGGCGACCACAGCAAACCCGAGGAGAACAGCATTAGTCAACCCTTTTGTCCCTGAGTTCAAAATAGAGCTATCAATCTGGAGGCCCTTGTAACCATTCGGTATAGTTGGGCATCGAGCTGCCAATAAATAACTTCCAAATCTAGAGCGGATCCGGTAGTTTAGGATCACATTCGAATTTGTTGATGACTTCTTCCATCCGAGGATTGGGCGTTCGGTTGCAGTCACTATGTTAGCTCTCTAAGACCGCCTGATCAACGGCCAGCCACCGACAGAAAGGGGCATGCGTGCCACATTTCGGGACGACGAATCTGTCGTATTCGTTCAATCGACATCGTTTCTCAAAGCCCAGGCTCTACTCGCCTGTGGCGGCAACGGCCTATTGGAATTGAACGGCTTATCCTGCTTCGTCCTGGCCCCGGGTTAGACTCATGAAGGTATGGCATACAGTCGCGACGAATTGGGATTGTTTTGTCGTCGGTAACACACGGTATTAGTTCACTTGGAAGAATTGGAACGTATTTGAATAAAAGAAAGTATGTCTTGGGGCTATGTACTTATTATACTCAACGCCGGCCTCAGTGCCAACCTATATGGATGTTTCGCTCGCACTCGGCTTAGCACTCTTGGATTTCAGGTCCTGCATCTGAAATAAGCGCTGTTCGTCCTCCTCACCATATTGAACTGTGTATGTCCTCTGCTGATAGATGATTGCCTTCTTTGACTGTTCCGGATCATGTACAACTGACGGCATTTTCCCTCCAGTTCCTGCTCGACTTCGACCCATGGACTTGATATTGCCAAAACTGCCCGACTGGTAATACTGGTTCCTCGCGTTTGTGGTGCCTCCGAGGGCGGGAAAGATGCGAACCAGGAGGAGTCGTAGAGAAGGCATACAGGTGCAGATGATGCCGACGTTGATCTCGACCACCGACCATATTGAAACACCTTTGTAATCCCACGAGGGATTTTGGGTATCTCCGAATTCCACAAGGGATTGCAGACGTAGAATGCTGACCACTGTGACACTGCGAGGGATAGAGTTAGCGGATGTTACTCCTTGGGGCCAGGTTTGAAAGGTCGAGACTTACAACGCTCCCACGATGAACATGAGCGCAACCCCAATCTTCTTCTTCCAATGCATGTGGAGGCTTCTCAGCTGGGACAGTGGGATTGCAAGCATCCAGAAATCCAGCGCAATGCTGACGGCTGCATTTGCCCAAGCGATATTGTTAATGCTAAGGCACTTTCCCTCATGCTCGCCGTCCCATTTTGTCCAATAGAAACTGACAGGCTGGCATTGGAATATGGTAAGGACGACAAAAAATAGACCGAAAACTGCGTTGAATATTACCGTTCCCCAAAGAACTCGTTTCACCTGTTTTCCAGGGAAGATCCTGAGATAAAAAAAGAGCAAGGACATTTTGAGCAGTGTAACTTGTAGGAAGTAGAGTACCGCCATGATGTAGAAGAACATGCCAAAGTTGGTGATCTGGGTCGAGGTAAGGGTCCAGATGTCCTTTCCAAGTCCGTTCGGTACCACCGCCTCGGTTTGTATGACCGTGCTGGGCACACCCGACAAGAAAGTAATCAGGATGAACCAGTCATCTAGAGCAGGCTGAACTTGTACTACGAATATCTTGAAGCCGAGTCGTAAAAGAATCGCCGCTGCACTTATCACTCCAAACGTCACCGTCAAGACGTAGGGTAATTGATGGTCGTCTCGGATTGGAGCTTGACAAGTCGTTTCCGTGACATTTTTTGTTACTTTGGTCATGTTAGGTGCTGCCAAGCCGAGTCTGAGAGCTGCGAAGGGAACTGTGAATGGAAGTGCGAATGAAGTAAAGCATACATAAAGCTTGTTTAACCGTGCACTTCTCTGACACACACTGAGAAATGGTCGCCTGCAGCGGCGCATTCGTACAGACACATGTCTGGTTTGTAAGAGCGCAGGTTGAGTCTGTAATTCCTGTCTCAAGGCAGTCGCGCTGGGAGACACCAGATTAGTTGCGTGGATTGTCAGACAGACGGACGTTCTCTCTTACAGCACATTTTGGTAGTGTAGCCAGTAGCGCGATTGCAGCCGACGATGCCGAATCCTGGGCAAATGCACAAGGCAAGGCAGCCAGCAGCAGCGTCAGGTTGACCGAGACAAAAAACCTCATGGTTCAGGCGTGCTTTTCATCGCGCGCACCAGGCTCACGATAATTTCATCTGCAGATCTGTCTGTCAGGAGCATCGATGGAAAGGATCAGCGATCTTTCCTGGAGTGTCCTTTCTTTTTGGTCCACAGATCTGGGAGGTCCTTAGATCCACTCGATAGCTCGAAATCGATCGCATCAAACAGGGTGACAGCTCCTGGATTTTCCCCGTCCAGTCGCGTCAAAGTCTAGACATCGCCATAATGGTCCCACCATGTCGGGATGAAACCGAAACTTGGCCCTTTTGGTGTTTAGGGCTACCATTAGTCTCCGTCCGGAGTCTCACACAGAGTGGGACTGCTTTTCAAGAAACATGTGATGCATTGAGATGGGGAGGTTAGGAGCTTGAGGAGTTCCTTGGGATTGATCTAAGGAGCAGGAGGGCCGAAGCCATCCCCGATTTCATTTTGCCCAGGCTGCTCGGGTCAAGACCCGGATTCCACCAGGATAAAATCAATTGGTCTCCTTTGATCCTCCTCCGGCGCTATTGGCTACCCTCGGCCGTGCGCTATTGGCTACCCTCGGCCGTGCGCTATTAAACTCTTTGCTTCGAACGAACGCTCGGACTCGGGAGATATTCCTTACTACGCTAGGATGACCCTGAAAGTGGATGTCTTGCATTCGTAAGTCGGAACCAAACCGGCTTGGGATGCTTCCAGCCAAGAGGTTGATAATAGTTGAACAATCCCTGCATATATATGAATTGAACATGCCGAAATGCAGCAGACGGCCACTTGCATCTCGCTTACGGTGGTTTGCCGGGGCCGAGCAGGCGAATTGCAGGACCGGTCCAAATGGAACCTATAAGTCGTTGCGATGCCCTAATGCGTAGTGTCCTGGTGCCTAGGTAATACACAATTAGGGCATAGCCAAACTGCATCGCTAAACATATGGCCAAATAGCACATTACCAAATAACGCATTGGTACCTACTTTGGCAGCATTTAGATACTGATCTCCGCAAAGTATAAGCTTCACTAGTTTCTGGGGCATCGTTTAAATCTGCACGTCAGGGAGATTGACTCGTGGACCTTATGGGCATTGTCCACATGGCGCTATCATTTCCATCCACCGGCGATGCTCCCCTCTCCGTGCTGTGCCACCGGTGGCCAGGAACGACAGCGACATCTCATCTCCGGAGGCCCTCCTCGCCATATCATTAATTCCCTTTTCCAATGCATCGTTCATATGTCGCCCCAGTTCGAATCACATGTAATGTGACCCTTAACGTTCAGATATATTCATTATGTGTTGCACCTCTGGCGAACCAAACAGATTTGCCCATCGTCGCTAGTGGTCTTCATTCTCTTGGCCTGAACCGTCGATATAGTTCAAATTCCTCGGTCTATTTCAATAACCACGTCGGAACAGCCGTCTCATCATCGGTCCGCCAGATACTAAATCAGCCATGAGAGCCTCAGTCGTTATTCCTGCATTCACTGCCCTATTCGCGATGGGCGCCCAAGCGAGTACGTGCTATTGCATGCCTGGCGACTCGTGCTGGCCGGCTACTTCCGCATGGTCCCAGTTCAACTCTACTGTCGGTGGGCGTCTCATCGCGACAGTTCCCATAGGGTCGCCCTGCCACGATCCAAATTATGATGCGGCTGCCTGTGCGGCCCTGCAGGCTGAATGGACACTCCCGACGCCACAGTAAGTTGCACCCCTAACGGCTTATACGTTGCATGCCAGTGCTGGGCTCCACTAACGCTCATTTGTCATCTAGTCTAGAGTCATCTTCTTCTGTGATGGAGCCTTACTTCGCCAATCAGAGCTGCGACCCTTTCACTGCCCAGGAAAAGCCATGTGTACTTGGCAACTATGTTAGCTATGCGGTCAATGTGTCAAGCACGGCCGACGTGGTTGCTACCGTCAACTTCGCCAAACGCAACAACATTCGCCTTGTCATTCGCAACACAGGTCACGAGTACGTGGATTAATCATCATTCGTTTCAGATATTTGGAGTTGATGTTGATCTTTGATAGCTTCTTCGGACGTTCCACTGGTGCTGCCGCCCTTGCTGTCTGGACGCACAATCTGAATTCCATCAACGTGACCTCCTGGTCGGACTCTACCTACTCCGGGCCTGCCATTAAACTCGGTGCTGGCGTACTCGGCTACGCGGCTACTCAAGCCGCTCACGACGCCGGCCTTGTTGTCGTGGGTGGTGAATGCCCTACTGTTGGGATTGCTGGTGGGTTCACACAGGGCGGCGGGCACTCTGTCTTGTCCACTGAGTTTGGTCTCGCTGCGGACCAGACTCTGGAGTTCGAAGTCGTCACCGCTTCTGGTACTGTGGTGACAGCATCTTGGAAGAAGAACGCGGATCTCTACTGGGCACTGTCCGGCGGTGGCCCTGGTACCTATGGCATTGTCACCTCATTGACGGTTCGGGCTTTTCCCGAGGTTACCATCGGCGGAGCTGCCCTCGTCCTTGCCGCTGCGTACACGACTCCAGACCTGTTCAACCAAGCTGTCACTGCCTTCCATTCCATGTTGCCCAACATGACGGACCTTGGTGCGAGTGTGACATATCTGCTCACCAACCAATACCTCCAACTCAACCCCGTGACTGTGTACAACTCCACCGCTGAGCACGTCAAAGATGTTGTCCTCGCGCCTTTCATTGCTAAGTTAGCCGAGCTTGGCGTGCCCATCGTGTCTTCTAGTTATACCTCGCTATCCTACAATGACCATTACACTACCTATATGGGCCCTCTCCCCAACGGTCATCTTGCCGTGGAGTCGTACAACTTTGGCTCTCGCCTGATTCCGCGCAGCGTCATTGAGACCAACAATAAGGGATTCAATGCTGTGGTTCAAAACTTGACGGCTCAGGGAGTTATCGCTGGAATCACAGCTGGCAGTTTTGTCAACAGTCAACGCGTGTCCAACGCGGCTCACCCTGCGTGGCGCACTGCCATCATGCAGATGCAGCTTATTACGCTTTGGGATAATTCGGCAGATGCGTGGAACAATAACTTGGTCGCCCAAAAAAAGATGACGAGTGAGTTCGTACCTCAGCTGATGGCCATCACACCGGGTAGCGGAACCTATGTCAACGAGGCGGATTTCAATCAGCCTAACTGGAAGGTGGACTTTTTCGGGGCGAACTACGACAAGTTGTTGACCATCAAGAAGAAGTGGGACCCCACTGGTATGTTTTATATCTTGAAAGGAGTGGGAAGTGACTCTTGGACTGTTGCCAATAACGGGAGAATGTGCCGAGCGTAAAGTCGTTACAATAAGTTTAACATGGTACACTTGATAATAACTAAATAACTAATCAACAACAACTTACCACCGTCTCATTGTCCTTCCTGATGGCCAGTCTAGAAACATTCACTTTTAAGCTTTCGAGTGCCCATATGTAGTATTCCCGTCCAAGCTTTGACAAGGTGTGATTCTATTTTGGCAATGGCCAGATGTAAGATCTCATTTTTGCCGCAGGTTTCTCCCAGGATAGCTTCTCATCAAACAATTGAAAGTTCTTCTCGGTTCATTGTACCAACTTTTGTGGTATCGTTCCCCTGAAACAAAAGGTAGCGCGTAGAAAAGGTGAGAGCATGCAGAGGTAGAGCCGCAGTGGTGTAGCTGCAATTTTAAGACCTACGATACTAGAGCTTGCGGTGCTGAAAGTAAAGGACTTACAGTACTCATGCAAATAGTGAGGCATTCATAAAACTTGCCGATGATCATTATGACGGTGGCGTCGACGACTACATCACTTTCATCATGGTTCAAAAGTTAAGGGACTGTTCTTGGCCTTGGGTTTCAGCTGGGGTTTCGGGTTTCGCCTTCATCTTGGGCACCGGAGTGGCTCTCGAGGACAGCAGCTTCATTGAGCTCTGTGAGGCGAGGCGAGTCATCGATGTCAGCTTTAGTTTATTGCCTGGCTGCCACTTTTGGTACTGACGGTAAACGTCCGCAGAGAGGTGCACTTGCGAACGGCCGGAAGCTTTGTTAATGTCGATCAAGAACATTCCTCTTCTCGCCGGCTTCAAGAGCACGTACTTCTCGAAGTCTCCTGATCTTTCTAGTTCCTCGTAGTGGACATCTGAAATTAAGGCGGGGGAGCCTCAAAAGGGATTTGATTGACCTTCAAGGCCGTTGGAAGTCGAAAAGTATAGCGGTTTGGGTTCTTGCGACACCTGGGACGAGGACATTGAAACGTACCCTACGTATGACTGCCGCCGGCATGCTACTTGTGACAAGCGTGGCAGAACATGACCTTCTTCTTTTAGATCTGCAAGATGGCGTTGTGTGCTGCACATTCCATCTCCAAGTGATGTGCAGGACTTGCCGGCACTATCACAGATTGACTGGTTCCAACCTCTGGGGTTGGCGATGGTGATCTGCATGCCGAGTGTACGGCTCAGGGAAAGGCAATACTGTGACTGTTGGGTGATGACGCTGGGTAACGAATTGTCGTCTCGTGTGAGACTGTGGATGGTGATATCGGCCTCATCGCCAGGGCTGGAGGCGGCGGTGTGGAGCAGCAAGATGACCGAGATGGTGCAGTATATGTCATTGGCAAACTTATAAGTTGTCGATTCGAGTAGCAGCTTCTATTCCAGGTACGTGGTGATCTTGACGCGACGGCCGAGTTCTGTTACTGTGAGATTGACGGAGTTGAGGGCCTTGCGATGATGCGGATATCAGTTCGATTATGTAGTGCGCCTCGGCAAGATTACGGGCACTAGTGTTGATATTATCTTCGAAACAGTCCTCAATCTCTACGAGGAGGCGAAACCTTGGAAATATGGGGGTTAGCTTGCACAACATCACTGTCCATGTAAGGCTGCCGGGGTGAATACACTAACTGTGGTGAATGGATATTCACGTACTTTTTAGTCTGATCCGAAATCCTATAGGAGTCCTTTGTGATGACGAAGGGCTCCAGCTGGGTTGGATCTCCGTCGAGGATACGGACGACCGCTGCTGGGAATGCATATGCCAGCACGACCACGTATATTTAGGTCGTGAATTTTGACCTATAGCTCCACGAACGTCTACTTAGTGATCTAACCGCCATGATGACGAGCTCTCTGATTGAATCCGCAATATTTTGTACTCTGAATGATTTGAGACCTATCCCTCTGAGCTATCCTTACGTCGCTACCGACTCAATCATCTTTGGTCGCTCGCAGTGGCGAGTTCTTGACATATGACAGGCAATGCACCATTACAGTCTAGGTCCGTTAATCCACACGAAGACAAACCAACGCATATCGTTCGAAAACAGTAATTGTAACACCCCTCTTGTATCCGTACGATTAAATTGCTTTGCAAATGTGCACTGCAGGTTTGCATGTTCAAACAGGCCATTGCCATGCATATTTACACTATAACTACTTAAGGCAGAAATAGTGGTCATGAGTAGCTAACCTGTCTTCGACCGCAGGCACAAGGACAAAGATAGTGCCGACGCAGACGTCCCAAAGAGAATGAGTCGGGGCAAGTAGAACCGGTCCCAAGCCCGGGAAAGACGCCTGGGGACGCTTGAAGACCTACCTACGATCTGAGCCGTAGCCCTAGCTTCTGTCTCCTGCATACCGTTCGAACATGACCTTTTTCTTCGTCGCAGCTACAACGAGTTAACCCCGTTTGACAGCTTACCACGGAGCCCATTTGATCCTCAACATTGAGGACGTGGCGGATGCTTGAATGCTCGTCGTGATCTACCGCATTCTGAACACTCAAAACTCGAACCATATCTGCTACTTCTCCGATACAACAACTCTGCTTTGAGAGACTATTTACAGTGCGACAACTTCTCCAGGCAGGATGGGATGCACAACATTATTTCTACACAGTACGTATGCAGGCCGCTTCGTCAGACTTACAATACAATCCTTGTACCCTGTTTCCTACTCCGACGGCGATTTCCCTAAGCCTTCTCAAAGCAGTGAGGGGAACCTTATAAGTCAACGGCCCGATGTGTAACCCCTGGCACCGAACTTGCACTATACATAGGGTATGGACCTTGCCAAGCTGCCAGACTATTGACCTGGAGCCACCTATCACAGCTGCTGATCCTACCCGAATTAGGTAATACCAAGATTACATGACAGGGGGTGAAACTCACCCATGCACGATCGAGTGTGGAGCTGAGTAGCACCTCAACTCTGCTCCGACAGCATCTGTCGATAACGCCTAGCGATAACGCTTGCGGGAGCAAGTGCTTGTTCTCCAGATATATATGCGGAGATAGTCAGCCCAAAAGGAATTAGCTTGGGACCTCCGATGGAAGAAACAAGCGAAACAAGAGATTGACGCCATGCCATCTGTCAATTAAGACCATCCCGGCTAGGACCCCCACCCTCCTCAGCTGATGTCGATAGCGGTAACGGGGTCGTTGATGAGTTTGGCGTTTGGGTGAAGTCTATGGCGAGGACGAGGACTCTGAGGACTCTGCGGAGGACTCTGAGTAGGACTCTGCGCTCCATTTATGAATCATCTAGCCAAGTTTGGTCTATCAGTCGATGGAATGCAGGTTGATCAGTCTTGTGTGGTGTAGACTGTGTTCCTTGTTAAAAAGTCGATTTTTCGACTATCATCACTATACTTGATGTTTATCTAAACATATTCTCTGACATTTCTGGCATCATCGTAATACATTAGTATAAATGACATAAATCGTCACATCCGCAAACGTTCTGGATCTTATAGGCGGTAGCCAAGTTACACTCCAATTGATATTCCAATTGATATGATAAACCATTGACAAGCGTAGAAGCAAATGGAGATCAGGTAAACGCGGAGGTAGAATTATGCGCACAAACCCGCTCGCTCGCCGTCGCCCTCTACTGACAGTCACCCTCTAACTGTCGCCTGGTCTAGGATATTTGGTTTTGCACCAAGTCATGCGACTCTTTTGCCACCTTCCCTATAGCCGGTCACCAACCCAGAGAAACGGCACTTATTATGCGTCCAGCGCAATATGCACACGTCTAACCTTAGATGATCCACAGCGATGCGTTTTCGGATGCCCCGTCGAACTCTATTAGAGTAGTGCCGATCGAGTCTCGGGTGCGAGGAACTAATCGGGCGGGTTGAACCTTAATTAGATACGGTATCTGGATGATGTAGATTGCTTTTACCGACTTCGCTTTACTGACCGCTCTATTCCCTCGGTGCTCGCGTGTCGCATAGTCGTCATATGACCAGCTTTTTCAACGCGAAGCACCGCTCATGATCTCGAGCCTCAATTTTTGCTACTCATTACTTCGGGCCCCGAGTCGCTATCTATTCAGTGGAAGCGGTAGCCATTGTGCTAGATGCATATGGTCACAATCTCACCACTACTCAGACCAGTAGACATAAACTTTTGATAGAATTTCGGGCCCTGGATTGCTGGTCAATATGTGATATTTCGTAATGATACTTGAGGTGGGTTTGCGACCTCGCGCGTTCGCGGCGGCTCCTTGGCTCGATGTGGCATTGAAGCTGTCTAGAGCCGCGCTTCTGCTATTCCACCATGTGCATATGAGTGATATACTGCAAACTGCCTATGAACAGATATCAATCGATCGTCTGGAACTCCCGTATCCATTCGTTGTTGAACACCAAGTGTGATTTTTGTAATATTCACACATAGCACTGTGCATGATCCCTTCTACACATGCAACGTGCGTACCAAGAATGAGAAATAACAAGAAGAAAAAGAGGAAGGTCAAAAAGAATCACTATAGGTCTGCCTGGGGATCGAACCCAGAATCTCCTGATGTCGTACTGATTACCCAAACGAGTAGCTTCGTAGTCAGACGCAATGCCAATTCTGCCAACAGACCTTGGTGATGATGGGGGGGTCTACTGACACTTGTGTGGGCGATTGTGGGGATGTGGAAAGGGTCAGGGACCTGCTCACGATGAATCATCCTAGAAGAATAGTGTGCTTTTTGGAATCCGGAGTCATTCCGTCTGTTAGGTGACAACAGTGATATCCACCTTATAATTACGGTCGGTGACGGATAGAATATCCTGATGTATAAGTCAGACAAAGGACTCGTGGACTTCGTGTTATGCAGAACTGTGAAGCTCACAAGATCACACTTGAACCAGCGCAATAAAAATACTGTTCTAGACCGTGCGTCGCAACATCTGATTAAAGTAATAATAAATAAATACAATTGAGCTATAGCATTACCGGCTGCTAAAAGATAGTTGATGCTGTGTAAATCAACATACATAATAGTAGGAAAACACCCGTTCATTCTCTACAAATGTCGTCAAGACTCGGAATCATGTAATCATGAACCATATACGTATCTCAACCCACTGTCAACCCATCTCATCACTCATTATTCGAGGAATAGCCTGTCTTCCCAGCTCACAGAATCCTGGATACCTAGTAAGGTCTGTATCCGACGTAGTTCCCAGGGGGCGAGTATCTGGCAACGATGTAGACACCGCCGTTGGCAGCCGTAGCGTTGGCCATGCCAATCCTGTTTGTGGACGACCACATGACTTGAGCTGAAGGAGGATATTTGTCAGTATCACCTCAAGGGTGTTTGAACTTCTGGAATCGAAAAAGAACCTACTGTAGTGGCCATATGAGGCGAAGTTGCCTTGAGGAATGATCTCGTTATGATAGTTGGAGACCTCGGCTACCCAACCTTGGGCGCCTTGCGTCAATGGGTAAGTGACGCCGTTGGAATTACTATATTGTGGAGAAATATTAGTTGCATGTTCACAGATCTTATGATTAAAAAAAAGGTATAACAAGGAGAAAGAAGACCAGCAAAGTACGGGATACATACTAAGAATAGGCCAAGTTCTCGCCTTGGTTGGGGCGTTGATCGGATGTTGAGTGCATTAGATTGTTGATGGAAGCAAGGTAGTTCGCCCACTGTTGCGCATTCGCGGCCAAGGCGTCGTCCCAGATGAGGCTTTTCAAGTTCTTGGTCAAGCGCTGGTTATTCTGGACTTTAACCGCAACAGCTTGGTCCAATGTAAGAGTTGCAGGCTGTGTGGCTCTCTTCTCGACGAACCCCTCGGGGGGTTCGTTCGTGACCTGTCCGTTGGCGTACAGCATTTGGCCGAGTACAAACAAGGGCATGATCACGCTCTTCATGGTACCGGTTGAAAAGTTGATTAATATGGGAGAAAATTAATATGGGTAGAGAAAAGTATTGAGTCGATTAAAATTGAGGATAATGCTTGAAGCTGGAGATGCTGGTGAGATGTTGTTGAGCTTGTACAAAAGATATCCCAACTTCGGCGGCAGCATCGCTGCATTATATACTTGTCGTTCATGGAATGCACTCTTGATACCATTTTGATCTGGACAAAAATCCCCATGAGACATACAGCTGTCAGGGACTGCACTAAGCTTTTGAAACATTTACTTGTCGGCTTAACCATTCGGAGATGACCCTATTCACTCGTGGTTGTTGCGGGCCAAATGAGGTAATAATAAGGTTCGCGGCTTACTACTCGTGATAGTCGAGACATCGGCGATGATTGCTTTTCGCCTCTCCCGGCATCATGGTCCACTAGATATCGCAGATTCTGTCAGGACAGTATAGCTCTACCGTGTCCTTGCGGCGTGTTTCATGAATCGCGACTGGCATTCCTCTCACCTTGAGTCGTCCTGTCAACAATGCCAGAGGTGTCAAAAATGCCAGAGGTGTCAAAAATGATGACTAGCCAACATTAACGCCTCCCGGGCTCCAGAAATCTGGGGTCAGAGTAAGACATGCCTCGTTCCATTCATTGCCTAAATGGGTGCAGTTGATGGATTGCGGGACAAGCCTGACTCGTCAAACACGTTGTTGCCACGATGCGTTTCCCAAAACAGTCGCCACGAGTATGGGATGGCCTCTTGTGGACGGAGTTTCTGTCCCCTTGCGTCAGCGGTCTCTACTAGTCTATAGAATTGTGCTGACTGCCCGAGACAACAAACGGTCCTTCCAAGATCCCTGCCATATTCTCATATAATTTCGGGAAAAGCTTGCATGCTTCGAAGCCTTAGAAATATTCTGTCCAATAAAAAACGTTCCATCTCATTGGGACTTGGATTGGATGACGAATATCTCGAACACATCTGAATCTTTCCTCCAGGAATGGTAACATGCTTCCTAACGGTCATTGGTTCAAGTGCGCTACTCTTGATGTTCATGACTCGATAGCACACTTCCGAGTATTGTCAGATATTTCAGCCGCTCAGCCGGCGCAAAAGTTCCTTGGTCGTCGGCGATTCCAACAGATCACGATCACGATACGCTCGGAGTAATACAGCCGATCATGATGAACTTTGTTCTCATGACGCTATGCTTTTGACAGTGCGACACGTGAAGGTGCCGGGAAGTGTCGGGTGGTGTCTTATGGCTTTGCTCTTCCTTCGAGTGATATCTACATCCAAAGACATAATTTCCCACTGCCAGTGCCACCAGCTACCCAGTTGCATGTTGGGTGAAGTACTGCCACGGCAGGCACGGCAGTAATGCCGTCGCCACTAAGTTGTGCAAGTTGTTTGCCCTCACTATCATAGATGTCGACAAATCGGTTCATGTTGGCTATAGCAAACTTCTCCACACCGTCAGTGGGGTTTAGCTGCCATTGAGGTTTCAGAATAGTCACCCATCGACCTGTCTGGTTGTTGTGACGTATCTGTCTTACGGGCTCCATATCGGCATCAGGTATCTCGTGACCCGCTTTCCACTTGATTGCTTTCGCGAAGTCATAGATTTTGACTGTGTCATCATATGATGAAGTTGCAATGTGGCCGCTCCTATTCCAAGAGGCATGAGAGACTGACAGACGGGATGCATGCTCCCCAAGCAGTGTAGGGTGACGCATCTCTGCCTTGCCCTTAATCATGCGCAAGTCCCAAATCTTCAGTGTGCGATCCAATGAAGCGGTTGCCACGAGATGAGGGGATAACGGGTTGAGGGAGAAACCGCCAATCTTGTTGTCTGTCAAGTTCCAGATCTCAGGCTTCTCCTTGGAGCGTCGGTCGAGCCTCCCTATGGAACCCTGCATGGTAGAAAATACCAAGACATCCTTCTGCTCGGTGGACATGTCTACGCACGTAATGGCCAAGTCGGTATCCTCATCATTTGGGGCCCATATCGTCGTACTCATCTGCTTCGACAGGTCAAGACAACGAATGGTTGAATCGTATGACGCGGTAAAGACGGAGTTGTGGTCAACCTGTGGCACAATGATGGAGGAGATGGTTCTGGCATGAGTCGCGAAGGCAGAGACCTCAGGTAGCGGGACATCCTGATCTTCGTCGTCGTCATATTCTGGCTTGTCTTGAGAAGCATCAAACACACCCATGATGCCAATCTTATCACCAGCAAGGACAATAGGCTTGTCTCGTATGGGGTGGAACGTCAAAGAGTATATCCGCTCTTTCGTGATTTTGATGTCTGCAGAAGGTTAGAGGACTGCACTAGAGCTGTTCAGGGGGATATGAAGCTACGTGCCATTCGGTAACCAACCATCGTATATCTCCAGATCTCCCATACTATTACGAATGGTCTTGAGTTTCTCATCATCTGTATCCTTCACGTCATCTTCGGTAAATGTTCTCACATAGGGCTGAGCACCCTGACTGAAGTTCGCTAGGGCATCGCCATTGACCCAGCGTGTCCCTTCGAGCGTGACCTTGGATAAGTCGAGGTCATCAGTCATGCGCGCGCGCTTGGCTGGCCTGTCTGCATCCCTGATCTCGGCCTCGGTTTTTAAAGACTCGAGTTTGATTTCGGTCGAGGCTCCAGACAGTCGAGCACTCTGCCGGGTGGGCATAACACGGGTGCGCTGAGCGGGTTCTGCGCGTGTCCTCTTCCTGGGTGCAACTGGTTTCGGCGGCGGTTTTGCTGCCCTTTTTATCTTCTGGCCGGCGGCTTGAGACTCGGCGAGAAGTGCTTTGTTGGCAGCAGCATTTTCTCTCCTGCGAGCCTCGAAGGAGCTGATTCCTCCAGGAGCCATGAGTTTAATTGAATGCGGGGTCTGATAGATTGAGTAGAGTGATACAAGAAGCACAACGATGCACGATTGGACTGTTGTCGTCGTCGGACGATACAGTATTGAGGAAGACCAGACAGTTTGCAAATAAAGATCCAAGTATCCAACGGTCGCTTCAGATATGAATCCAATTGAGCAAGACAGTGCAGTTTCGCCAGCTTATCGGGAAAGCAAATGCCCGTAAAAGCTGGAGGGAAGGTGTATCCGCAATCGCGACGCAAAACCAGCAAACGAAATGGCGCCGTTCTATCTTTGCTTGGTGTTTTCGCGGATTGCAAGGCCTGACGCGCCTCAGTGGGAATAACTGCAGCAACATCATCACCCCTAAGTCTAGTTAGTCTAACCTAGTCTAGTACCAGAAAAGAAAGCGCGTCGTCGCGAGCTCGGTGCGCCATCGCGTTCAGTTAATTAACAACTAGCTTAAGTGCAGTGTACTTGTAACTCATCAGCACATACCGCCCCGCAGGGGGACAAAAATAAACCGGACACTCGTATTTCGTAGCACCCTTCCGTATGTATTATAGTAACACAACATGATAACGACTTTAAGGGACTTAAATATATATATCATTATGTTTGGTCACCAATCGCAATAATACTGTTCTACTTGTGTTAAGTTTTAAGATTGTGCTATGCAGTTTTGCGTCAGCCGAAACCAGAGCCTTCGCGGTGAGACCAAGTGGCCCATGTCCGGCTGATTTCGTCTTCCGCGTGGCCGGACGCATGCGGAATCCCCTGGAGGTATAGCGCTAACCTCTCTGTAGCTAGCCGCCAGCCCGCCTGTCGTTGTTTTCAATCGCCCGGGTTTCCAGGGGACTTGCTGTCGCAGAGCTTCTATCGATAAGAAACTGCAGACGATTGAAAGCAACTGAACTTTTTCGGTCAGGCGAAGGTCCAGGTCCCTCCCGGTACGGTTTTGTCGCAAAGGTCGTCTCTGCTCAGCTCAACCTTCTTCATCAGTCTCTTCTTTCTACCTCCCTTCAACCATCATAGTTCCCAACGCTGGCAACCATGTCGAACCCCCCTTTACTCTTCCTATACCAAACTCGAACCATCCTTCGAAGCCGCCATCTCCCTTCTGTGTCCCGGGCCTTGCATGCGACACCATCCCGTCGGCGGAGAGGCGACAATGATATTCCCTTTGCAAGCGGCCGCCCGGGCGACGATGTGCATGTGCCTTTAGTCGAAGAAACCAAAGGCACCATCACACCTACAGAACGACAGACCTTTGATCGCATCTTTACTGATATCGCAAATCGAGGCCTAAAGCCGAGACTACAAGCAGACGGCCAGCCGCCCGGCGAAGTTACAAGACGAGCCACCAATCTGATTCTGGAAGCTGCCACAGTTGATGCTACCGGCGAAGGAATTTATGGAAAAGCAATCTCTGCACCTCAATTTGCCGTCGCTGCCAAAGACAAGGAAAAGGCCCTTCTGAGATTCCCTCCATCCTTGCGAGCCGCCGCCAGTCGAGCTTTCGAGCTACTCAACCCCGATCACTCAACCACCTACTCATCCAGAGACGGCAGCAAATCAGCCAAGAAGGGATCCGACAACGCCGAGGCGGAATGGCAGACACCTCAGAACACTTTCTTGCGCATGGTTGAGGTGGACTCCAAGAGACTTCCTGAACAAAATCGTGTCGAGGCTCTGATGGCCATGGCCAAGAGTGATTTTGAACTTTGGGACGTCATGGAGAAGGAGGTGTTCTCGTACCCGGAAAGGCTTGGCTTGCGAAATGGAACCATCCAACAAACATCTGGCAGCAAAACAAAGGGAAGGAATGCCAGGAACCGCCAGTCTCGAGCACAGCTCGCAACCCAGCTATCTCGGGAGGATGGGGCTTCTTCAGAGAGCACTACAGACGCATTGAGGGGGGACCCAAAGCTAAACCTCTACATCTACGGCCCGTTATACCCATCGTTCCTGTTGTTTGGTCTTCGACGCCTCGATAATGCCTTTGCCACACCATCGCCACTGGCCCTATCAGTCCTACCTCGAATTAAGGAGCTTGGCCTGGAATCCTTCGTCTTGGGCGTCTCGACCCCATTCTACAATGAGCTTCTGGACATTCAATATGGTAGGTACGGCGACATCTCCAGTATGATGGATCTCTTGGAAGAGATGAGCCATTCTGGGCTGTACTTTGACGAAGGCACGGCCTCCGTCCTGAACAAGGCCTACAACCAGACTCAGGACCTATCAACTGGCAGTCATGGTCTTTTCGCCAAAGCACTCATGACCATGCCTGCATACGAGCAATCCGTGCGAAATCGCATAAGATACTGGCACAGTAAGATCGATGTCTCCATCGAACAGAGAGATGCCGACATTGATTATACGCGACTACAACAACAGTAGAATAGAGCTGAGCCAATGGGAAACACGCCAATCAATAGATATTTTGAAGTTTCACGGCATCTTCGCTCAGTCTGAGAATTTGAATCAGACGAATCTCTGGCATTGTGGATTGTTCTCGAATTCTGTTTCTTGCCATTCGATCCGTTTTATCTAAACTCATGATCTAGAGCGGGGAGAGTCGGACTCCGTACCTTTGCCAGGCTCGCAAAGAATCTGGCTAAATCCTGCGAGAATCTCTTGTCCCGCTGATGTTCAATGAAGGATTAATTATACAAACCCTCCCTAACCTTGGTCTGAATCACCTAGTTTAGCCTTTGGGGAGATACTACAGAGGTTACCTAATCGCGTTGCGCCGTACTTAGCGCAATATAGTACTTTATCGATTCTGTGTCGGATGTTGGTACTGGGCAGGTGAGAAAATTGTGGCCGTCAAATCCTAACAATACGGAATTACGCGGCCGTTCATGGACGATGTTGCGCTTTGGATATGGTATTAATACCGTGGATGCGCTTATTAGTAATCCGGTTGTGTAAAGAGTGCTTGCATGGTACATCTAATATGCAACCCCCCCCCCCACCAACAAAAACCAAAGGCGCAGTAGTATGTGGAGATTTTCAGCATCATCATTCGACTCTAGACTAGCAGATATACAAGCGCCAAACCATGGTCCAAGGATGGCTACTTGCCTGCGTTGACCAGCGATCATACATGTTCGATTTCCCAATCTTTCAATCGCCATGTCTTCAAAAAGTATGGTCTTGGTTACTGGTGCAAATAGCTATATCGCCTGCCAAACTATTGCAGCACTCTTGGGAGCAGGCTATAGCGTCCAAGATATTGTATTACCACGCAAGTCTGTAAATGGTCTATTCGAGGCGTTGCCGGCATACGTGAGTGAGAGATTACTAAACATTGTAGAGCTGCCTCCAATCACAGTTGAGCTTTCGACCCAGTTCTCGAAGGTGTAACTGTTATTGCCCATCTGGTAACACCCGTGTCAGTCATGGATACAGACGTAGAACGTATAACTTCGACAGCGACAGCGACAGCGGACAGCGGGAACTCTGTCCATCGTCGAGTCGGCCCTCCAGGACCCTACAGTCAAGAGCTTCATTTGAATGTCGTCAATTGCTACTGTTGTCACGTAATTTGAAGATAGGCCATTCAAAGAAGACGGCTAGCATGACAAGAGCGTCGAGATACCAGCACGGTGGAGAGGCAGGTGGATTGATGATTTACACGCTGGGCAAGGTGAAAGCGGAACGTGCTTTTTTGGAAACTGGCCGAAGAGAAGAAGCCTGGTTTTAAGACTATCATTATGTCAGACATATGTTCTGCATCTTTCCATAATGAGCTTGGTACTGGAACTGACATATCCACAGTTGGGTCTCAGGGCCGCCGCTTTTCCTTCCCAAGTCGCCAGAGAGGATCGCAATGACTTGCGAGTTCATCTGACAGGTTCTATCTGGGCAGGAACTTCCCGCCGGGCCTGCTACGTATGGATGGTCACTATGTCGACGTGCGAGATGTAGCACGGTTACATGTTCTTACAACTGGCCATTTGGACATCTTCGATAGATAGAGGCTTCTTGTCGTCGCGGCAAAGAGTTTGATGTGCCTCAGCGGGCTGCCGACATCTTGCACCAGGCATATTCTGATTGAAGGAATATTATCAAGGAAGGGACAGCGGGTAGGTTATTTACCTGATAGCAAAACGCCGTCTGGTTGGCCGAAATTTGAACGAATCGAGGCAGTGAAGATGACAGGGTGGGAGTACGTCGAACATAAGAGAATGGCATTGGATGCTGTGAATATGTTCGAAGCGTATTCGTAAGGGTGTAGTGACGGTTATAAGATAGCCGGAGGACTATGCGCACAAATATACAATAGACAATGTCCGGCAGTGAATCAATACGATCTCGATACTGTCTTCGGAGGCTTTATGAAAAGGTACAAGATATTCGTCTTTGCGGTGATGATCGGCTAGGTTGAACGAACCTAGAGTAGTGTCCCAATAACTCAACGATGGCCATGTCTTCTCCGGGTGAGATGCTCTTAAATCACAAAGCCGCATTCTAAAATGCTTAATCCTGCATCAGTAATCAACCCATCAAAAGCAAAGGCAGCGACCGCGAGAAGCCCCTGCGTCATTTATGGATTCCCAGTCGATAGAAGTGGCGTCGCGTCAACGGTTGTCAGTTGACAGCTGTGCCCTAGACGCCTATGAAGCCGCCAAATCCCTAACCATCCTAGCGCAGTTGCAAGTCGTTCCAACTGTTACGGATCCGTACATTGAGACAGACTGCAGCCACATGCTTGCTCGTCAGTCCCGGATTACTTTGCCAACTAACCTAGAGCGTTATGCGAGAACAGCCATCTTCGGTTTGGACATTCATAAACCTCGCTCTCTGAGGAACGATGTCCACGAACCACTCAATGATCCAGGAATTGTCATTGACGAAGAGGATGAGTTCGTTGGTCTCGGCGATCAATGCTGTCTCGTCCTTTCTGGCTGGCGAGCAAATACGCAATGCTGCTGATTTGATAGATCAGCTGCAACCCGTGCCTGCAGGCCAAGTCTCTGCTGAGACTGATGTCATCGTCTTTTGTGCATCAGCTGCTCTATACACTGCTGAAGCAGTGTTTTCAGCGGTTCAGCAACTCCAAAAAGAAAGAGGTAGGTGAGCGGGTCATCGGTAAAATGCAGTGATTTGCGGGCACACCAAGATCACGATCGGCAACTAATGTTCTCACCAAACAGGAACTCAATTGCAGCAAGGCACTATTGCGAATAACCATGTCGTCCTTGTTTTGTGTGGTGGCATTGGGCATTCGACGCATCATATTCATAAAGCAGTGTCGCGTCACCCCAAATTCAAGGGTATCTCTGACAGGGTACAAGGACAGCCGGAGGCCCGAGTCTTACAAGCTATATTTGAACAGTTCTTTGGGCTAGCTGCCGACGGCAACAGCAGCCTAAGCATGTTAGAATCATCTCCCGACAGTGACAAGACAGAAACTATCAAGGTCTTGATTGAGGATAAATCGACAAATTGTGGTGCCAACGCGTCCTTGTCCAAAAAGCTCCTGGAAGAGCACGCCATCAGTAATCCTCGCTCCATCATTGTGGCTCAGGACCCGACGATGTGTCGGCGCACAGCAGCATCGTTTGAAAAGCTGTACGAACATGACCCAAAAACAAAACCTCGGATCACCTGCTGGCCGACATTTGTACCGCGGGTCCAATTGGTAGACAGTCTTGCCATGGGCTGTGCCAATGTCGACCCACTCAGTCTCTTATCGTTTGACACGTCGGCCATGACTGCTTCAAGTGTTCATGACTTGTGGGATATGGCGCGATTTGCAGACCTCGTGATGGGCGAGATTCCACGCCTACGAGATGATTCCAAAGGCTACGGACCTCATGGAAAAGGTTTTATTGCGCACGTAGACCTGCCACAGCACGTTGAAGAGGCGTGGAAAACTCTCCGAGCATCCTTAGGCACCACAGATCGAGCAGGCCACAAGTAGTGCCATGTACACATGTCTATCACTAAGATATCGGGAGCACTGTAGAGAAGTACAGAATTATCCAATTATTAAAGTGTGTGTTCGATCCTACTACTGAAGTCTCGATCAGAGCCTATTGCCCATATTAACATGCACAGCTTTAATTTGTGAGGAAGTCTCTAGTCCAGCCTCGCCCAACTCTCGGCCAATACCACTTTGCTTGACACCACGGAAAGGCACACGTGGATCGTAATCTTGGCTACTATTTATCCAAACCATTCCAGCCTGGATCTCGGCAGCCACGTGGTGGGCCCGCTCGAGATCTCTTGTGAATACGGCGGCTCCAAGCCCATAGGTAGTATCGTTCGCGAGATGAATGGCCTCACTCTCTTCCGAAAACTTCGCAATAGCCACAACAGGAACCAAAGATCTCCTCGTGCCACATGCGCATCGAAGGCTTCGCGTTGGTGAATATTGTAGGAGCTACATAAAAACCATTTTCAAAACCTAGTGTACCACCGGTGTCTCTTCTATCCTTGACCTTGTCCGTAAATGACAGGCGGGAATATGAGAGCCGTTTGCACAGATTGGAATTCGGCGGCCAACTCTAGGATGTAGTTGTCAACAGCCCTGGAAGGATAAGCTCTGATAAGCTCACGAAGCTTTGTAGCACCCTCATAGTCATCGAATGTAGCATCTGATGGTGACCATGGCACGAAAGATTTGGAAGCAAGTTCTCCAGCCACCAATACAGATGCTCCTGAAATCTGAATGTAGTAGACTGGATGTTACGCCTTATCAGCTTGATGTAATTCCTTCAACATTACCAGGCAAAGAACACCTACCATGTTTTGGTGAATCTCTAGACAACAGCGTCTCTACAATTCTCTCCACGCTCCTCATGTGTTTGTGTGACATTCAAAAACAGTGGGCCCACCGTCAATAGAACGTTGGTAATCTCAGGGTATATATTCGTTACCACAGTTTATTATGTGCAAGATCTAGGTATATCATGTTAGTCACTGAAATGATCTGTATAGAACACTCCTCAGATCCTAGGGGCGTACGCAGTACTATGTCAGCTTCCGAAACTACATCTTTAATCACATCAGATGCATCCAGGTCGCCAGCAATGATTTTGATGCCTGGGTACTTGGCGATGACGGCTTTGGTATCGGCATCTTTACGAACAAGTGCTGAGATAGAAAACTGTTTGTCCTGAGCCAGTTCGTGTAGAAATTGCCCGCCGATGTAGCCTGAGGCGCCCGTGCTGCATCATGAACGGTTTGTGGATACGTTCCTGGGTGACCGAGTTGCTGAAAGTAGCGCTTGTGGCTTACAAGAAGATATTAGCCATTACTTGCTGCTGAAAATGATGTTTGGCTGGAAGAAGTCTTACCAGATACAGATAAATTTGGTTAAACCCCCCACCCCCAGCGCAACAAAGATGACGATGATGTGTTTAAGATAAATCATGTCACATAACTTGGCCGAGCTCTGTGTTAGCATTGAGAGTCCTTTTGCGATTGCCTGCCAATCCTGCGACATAGTTTTCGGGTAAGTTTGGAGTTTCTTAAGGTTAGTGGATCGTCCACTGTGGGGGGCTCTCGCGGACGCTTGCTCTCAGCGGCCTTATCGATCCCTGTCGCAAACCATCTCGCACGTGGTCGATTTGCGAACTGGCACTTTCGCGCGCAGACACATCTGGCATGCACTAGGTTACATACATACAAAGTAGGATGACAGTCCATCGCTGGCCTCCACGGTGGGCCTCTGATCTTGACGCCACCGCGGAAACCTTCCCCAACCTCAAGTAAACCTCACTGATTGCAAGTGTGCGACTCGTGTCGGCCCGTGACGTGGATTCGCATCGTGAGTAATACCGGATTTTGGTCTCACGCAATTTCAAGTGTCTGGCTCCACTTGCTGCACTGCCCTTCTACGCAGAACCTCTCATGGCAACCTGCGGCTGATACGCAGAAATCCGCACTATGCCGATACGGCCATGACAGGCACGTAGTCTATCCTCAAGAATAAACAGGAAATTTCCATCCACTTCTTCTTACTGGTACCCTACCTTCCCTTTCCAAACAATCTGTGACAGATCAAACAAAATCGCTCATCTTACTTAAGCTAGATTTTGGAGTGCAGAGATGGCAGGCGACCCACAACCCGTTCGAAGACGCACGTTCGCATGTTGCAAAACCTGTCGAAGGAGACATGCCAAATGTGACGAAGCACAGCCAGAATGTTCGACTTGTCAGCGCCTTGGTCTGAGTTGCGGAGGCTATGAGCCCCGCTTGTTGTGGATCATGGGTGATGCTGCCGCCCCTTGGACCACGACCGAGTTGCGTGAGAGTCACCGAGGGGGCGGCTTCCGATACCCACTCTTTCCGGGTATGTTCTCTCCCATGCCCGGTTGAGTTTTGCTTTCAATGATTGGCTGTTCCGCATAGGACTGACCTCTTGCAGAAGTCGTCCGGCGACAGACCACAAGCCGACTCGAGCAGAGCATGAGCAATCGCTCGCCAATGTCAGCACTGCTACAGATTGATTGCTAAAGTGATGCCCACGAGGATGGTGAACCGCTCGCTCAGGATCTTATGCTCGGTCCTTTTGGAGTCTTTGACACAAGGCCGGCACAAACTGCAGTAACGTCACCTTCGCCAGTTGGGTTTGGCAGCACAAAATCCTGTGACATACAATTTGACTTTATTGATCACGGTGAAGACCAAATGCCTGGCGGGATAGTTTCACAAGATTGGTCTTATCCCGATACTCTTGATCTCGATATGTTTCTCTGCACGGGTGAGGGGTCGCTAAACGATGACTCACCAGAAACGTTTGGCACTTTCAACGCTTGTACACCGTCCACCTGTCTGCCACCACGGTTTGACACAACCACTCCATCCAAATCATACTTGATGGCGAACATTACATCTTCGGCGCAGTAGACTCCCTTGATCCATATTTGCATCTTAGTGTTTGCGCGTAACCATGGAATTGTTGTATCCCAGTCTAGCGATGGGTCGAACCCCTGCTTTTTCAACATCGCTACTGAAATGCGTGATCCTCGTCATTATGCCCAATATCTGATCGTCTGCTAATCAGTGGTTTCAATCACGTACTGTTGTCGGTATTGTTGTCTATTATTATTGTGGATCATATGTTGCCTCCTCTGCCTCTGGCTCTGCTGGTCCGACAAGAAGGTCGCGTACGGAATCGCATTACCAGATTTGCTAGCCTCTGCTATTCTTAATGCTCATGTATGACTCTTCTCCGACCTTGATACACACGCGTTAACACATTTATAGCTACCCAGCAAGCATATTTTCGTCCGTGTTCGTCATTCTTCCTGGCATGTTCTTGATGCTTGCTGGTACGTACAGTACTATCGCTGGTATCATTGCATCGTACGAGTAGGATGGTGGTTCTGGCGCTTGGTCTTGTGCTAATAAGCCAGGCTGTACTTAGATTAGTTTAGAGGCACCTGGAGAACGGAGCACAGTCTTAGACACTTCAAGTCTTTTCCTATTGGATTATCTGCTGCTGCATTATCAGAGTCGACATCGATACGGCCCGTCAAGACTGAGCACTGCAGAAGTCGTGATACGATCGAACATAATGATGGGATGTCCTGATTGAATTGTAAATCCTGATGCATTTCTCCATTTTGGAAGCCTGATGATACTAAGATGAATGATGTCGTCTTCTCCTAAGCTGTCTTACCGTCCTATTGATGAGAGTCTGTGCATAGAGCACATGAGCCTCATAAAACAGCCGTGGCATGATCTTATAACTTTCATTGACTTGATTTCTGGGATGGAGGCTGGAGCATTCCACCGTTACGTACGTCACTCTCGCCGTATCCCCTGATAACCTTTCAACGATGAACTCTTGATACCCGCCTTCCATTAATCGCCATGGACAGCCATACGAGGCTACCTTATCAATCGCCCTTGTGATGGCCGTGGGACATTTCCAATAAAATATTGCGCCAGCTGCATCGAGACTCTCCTCAATGATTCGTTCGTTTGACGGGAAGTGTGAGACAGGCTCCACAGCGTCAACAGGTAGCGCTGATGGTATGAAAGGTATCTTTTTGGATGAGCTCCAGCTTCCAAGCATGTATGCAACGAGACCCCCCTCTGTTCCAAAAAGGTGACTGCCAGGTTCAAACGAAAGTGGTGGAACGCAGCGGTCTAGTAACCATCCATCCAGGCCGTTCGCTCGTGCATCTAGGAATGCGGCTAGGAAGTTTTGCACAAGGTCTTGCGTGTCAAGATCTTTACCACCCGTTTGCGTACTGCGATAGCCCGCTAATAACTCCACCGGCACCTCAATCTGAATTGCAGTGAACGTGGAAGTCCAGTGTGTATTCTTTGACCCTGACCACGATGGGAGAAAGCCTGCCTTCGCCGTCCCCCACGGGATCGCAGGTGCGCTTTCGTTGGGCTTGCTTTCCACAAGGTTCCTGCAAGCGCTCGATTTGGGAACTTGGAGTATAGGTATCTTGGGGCATTTCTGATCAAGCAGGTACTTGCCAAGATATGAAATAGCAATGATTAAAGCGGCAGATGTTATTGCAGTGGTTGTCTGAGGTGAATTTAGGTTGAAAGGCATTATGTTCTGAGGTGAGGTTTTGATGTTAGGATTTCTAGAACTTGCAGGTAGCATCTATTTGTAGTGCAATCAAATAGGTTAGGACTGTCTTAAACACAACCCTTCAGTTTGTAATTAGTCAAGGTTAGTGGATGTCAATTGCAGTGTGACTCAGAAGCTGTTGCCGACCGGGTAATTTCGGAAGATCAAAGTTATGAATCTGATGTAATGTGCCCCAAACCTACATGTTCAAAGCTGTGCAATTTGCGGAGTGTTTCCGCCTTGTTTCATAACTTTGCATCCATAACTTTATGGAGTTCAGCCGCGAATCCAACCTGGGTTACGAATCGTCGAGCATTTTGAGCATCCATCAAGTGCTTGCAAGCCTGTTGGGAGCACCTGAGCTTGTGTTCGTGATGGATTGCCGAGAACGTGCGAACTTGGTCGGTCCAATAGATTCTGATACACATTACTGCTCAGCCCAAATACCTTGATCAAGCTCAACGAAGACTGGGGAAACCCCCCATGCATCCAAATCCATGATCATCGCATCTTATGTCCTCGAATCTAGCGTTACTATTGACATGTTTATTTCGAAACTTTCTTGTTGAGGTCAATGTTGCTGGGTTGAGTTGGCCTTTGAGTGAGGGTTCCCCGACATTTCTCCAATCGAGAGGTCTAAATTTGGTGTCTGATGCCAACCAGGTGAAGTTTCGACATTTATCATCAAATCAGTCAGTCGAGACAATCCTGAAGATGTCAGCTTTTTTTAGGATTTCCAGTTTTGTTCCGTAGTAATGACTTTTATTTCAACCTCGGGCCGATTCCAAGCTTTGCTTTGTCGGACCCTTTGTTCAGAGGATTAGAGGTTTCACAAAAACTTAGGTAGACCCAATATTGGATATCTCAATAACTGCGTCTGGGTAGGATTGAACAAACGCTTGGGCTTGACTCTTCATCCCAACGGAACCATAAATGATGCAGGGTTCATTGATGTTCTGTGCGACACCAAAGACCCGTGGACAATGATATTGCTGTTGTGGAAAGCGAGATGAAGCGTATGCGCTTCTAGCTCCCAATTTGATACCTCGAACTTTCCATCAGTAGTTAAGCCTTTCACGAACGTCATCTCTACAGGCCAATGGCTGTCTCAATTGAGCCGTTAACAACCGATAGGCGTATCATATCCAAAAGGCTGTCGCACCAACCATCGTACTTTGAATCTAGTGAGGCAACATAGTCCATAAGAGCCAGAATCTCGGAAACTGCTTGGCCATCAGTCGGTATCCTCCGGGAACTGTACAAGCACGAGTAAGCTTGCTTGGTAATATTTGATAGCGTCAGTGTATTATACTTATAGTTCAGCAACGACAGGTGGAGTCGCGAAGCGGCCAGACGTAGAGCTAGACCAGGGTGAAGGTCACTTACCCTTGTCTACGTTGACGGCAGAGTTTGAAGAAATCGCAAGTGGAATTCGTACCACTATTCCCAACGGATAGGTCTCCGCCCAATGGCGGACAATCAAAGTCGATTTCCGTCCTACATTTCGGCATCAAATGTGGACTTGTCGTCCAGATTATGCGTCATGCATTGTACGTCGTGATATAGCGATCGGCTACTATATAGATATGGGTTGTCGGGATCTACTGCTGCTGATCCGCAATCATAGCTGCAGTGTACTATACTGCCAAGAGCCGGCCTGCTGGAGGTGACTCATCTAAGGTTAGAGAGCTACAGATCAACCAGGATATCGAGTTAAAAGCTCAAGGAAGCTTCTATGGTTCTCCCAAAGCTATCATTCCTATAATCAATTCATCAGTCGCAGACAATGCATCTTCAACTACATTCTATCAAAGTAATTTGTATGGAACACAGGCGCTGCTTGCAATTGGGCCAAAGGTTTACGCTGCAACCGTGCTTATCAAATCACAATCACTGAGCTGCTTTCACAAGAGAGATCGGGTTGGCTGGTATGTAATGGCATCACTCGCTGTGTGAGGAATGTCTCAATGTCCTCACTCCGATCAAGATGCTTGTGTATTTTTGTCTCTAATCCCAATCCCTCACTCTGCTGTGGGGTCCTACTTCTTCTTCTCGATCCATTTCGTCCTCGTCTGAGCTTTCGTACATCGTCGACCTTTCTCGTCGTGTGAGCTTGATATGAATAGGTGTAGCATGAATCGCCAGCCAAGCTTCCTCATCGATCACATCACAAAAGTTACGACCAGCCTCTTGGTCCTATCGTAATCGCTCACAGCGATTGAAGAACTGACGGATCAAGTTATAGATAATGAGCTCATACCATTCAGGGGCCACAGGATTGTTCGACGACACGTCTCCACTGCTTCACCGTCTGCAATAGTGGTAACTTTTAATTGGATCAAGATATTTTTCCAAAAAAAAAAATGATCTGTCTATTAAAGAGACCTGACAGAGTACTAACAAGACCTGTATCAAAGCGCTGTATGCTATGTGTGAAAAGAACAAACACCCCACAGAACGCCATCCATGCGCCACATCCCGGCTGCAGTTACGGAACCACGGCCTGTTAAGAGTGAACAATCATTTTGAAATGGACAGTACGTATTTCCCATATCTCAATGATCACAAGGTAGACAGCTCATGTGCCACGACTATGCGAGGCAAGGTATCATGACGGAAAATCCAGAAGGGGCCAACCATCAGAATGAATGTCTGCCTCGAATTTTGCCAACCAACTCCAGTGTATATCCGCGTCCGACAAGGCTTTTCTTTTTGTAAGACCGTTTTCGATAACTGCCAATCCCGTGTACACCGGCTAGCAAATGAGTGAAAAGAGTGCATGATTCGTGTCAATATTTCGCATAGATCATCCAACCAGTAATATCCGTGCCCAGAAGTGATTAGATATGTCGATGTTGACCTCCTGCATTAGGTGTGGTCTTGACCAATCTCGTTCTCCAAGACTGTAAGAGAAGTTCCGTCTATATGTGTTACCATCTTTCCAGTGCGAGGTAAAAAAGTGTGACGTGGAATCACCCCTTTCATTTTGTATATCGCATGTACGTGCTGGAGCGATGCACGAAACCATGGCTTAACGGCTGGCAAAGGGCAACAATGCGGTCGTGCGGCAAAGACGCTACTGATGGTAGGCCTGCACACTTCAGCGACCGCCAACGCCATCCACAATGCGAGATGCATCGTCCTTCTTGGTTACGTTCGACGTCACACCAGCATAACCGTTGCCGCTGCCATTGCCGTTGCCCCAAATGCTCATGGCAGAGCCCAAGCCTGAGGTTCGCTTCCTGGCTCTGACAGTGCTGTCTCCATCCTCATCCATGCTAAACACGAACTCTCCATCCTCTTCACCTATCGGGGTGGTGTATCGTGCGCTGGAGCTGATGGAGCCACTGCTGACGTGGCGCTCAGTCGTGCGTCCGTTCGTGGGCCTTCCTCCGATCGTGGGGCGTAGATGTGGCGATGCGTCACCGGCGCCATCGACGCGAGTGCGCTGCAGTTGCTGTGTCAAGGCACTGAGACCCTCGACGCTGCCTGATCGACTGCCGTGTGGGCGCATGAGGTCCTCGTTTAGCATGGAATTGCGCAAGGGACTGCCGACGTGCCCGAAAGCGCCACTAGCTGCCAAGGCGTGCCTCTTTGCATCATCGTCATCCCGTTGACGCTGGAAAAGAGGGCCCCAACGACCGGGGCTCGCCGCCATTGGACTGCCAAACTTCGAGGTGACCTCTGCATTAGGGGTTACAGTACCGCTCAATCCGGCGAAGCCATTCGCCGAGCGGGGTCCATTTATCTCTTCATCAGCTGCCCTTGAACCACGTCGCGCCTTCTCCGCGGGGGTCAGCAAGTCCTTCAGGTTATCCGGCACGTAATCCTCCTCGAGAAAGGGGAATTCCGCATCCCAATCACGGTCGATTCCACCGGCAATGGCGCGAGGAGCACTGCTGCTCAAGAGCTTGGGCTTGGCATAGCGGCTCGAGTGCATCTGACGCTTGCCGTAGTATTCGTCGGCCGGCTGGGTCGGAGGCGAGGACGCAGTTACAGTGGCGGATAGGTGGTCGTTGCTTCCGAAAGCAGACCTGTGTAGATTCTTCAGGGCCTCTGAAGTCCGGGTTTCCTTGGCACCGAGCAGAGAAGGCGATGGGGAGTCGAGTCCGAATGCGGAGGGCACGGATGAAGGCCATGGCCCTCCAGGATAGCGCGCAGCGTTGGAGATACCATTGGAATCGAAGGATGCTGGCAGCGGAGCGTCGAGTACGGATAAGCCCTTGGCGGCGATGGGTGATAGGCCCAGTCCCAGTCTAGTAGGGTCCTCATCCCGGGGCGAGCCATATTGTGAGCCTGTATGTGAATATGTTGTGTCGATGGTAGGCAGTCCATTTTCCATACTAGGCTGACGATCCAGCTGGTGGTACTTGCTGCTAGGTGACAAGGGATAGCTATAGTTGCCGTATGGGTCATTCGCATCGGCCTTCATGAACGAGTTCGTTAACGCGCTATTGGAACCGTTGTACGGCGCAGCTGGGGTCCCGCGAGCACCCGAGTACCCAGGCTGACCGATCGTGATGCCATTCTTTCCATAATTAATTCGACGGCCGTCGGCGAGCATGTGGATGTTGGCACATTTGGGGCCGAACTTGCAATTGCCCTGGTGTGCACGAACGTGTCAGCATGAGTGTGAACCAACCATGACCACTGGAGGTGGTGGCAGCGGACATGAGTTCCCAGCTACGGATCGCACAGGGCGTGCGTCCGTCCCCCAAGAACAAAGCCGAGCGCTGCGACAAGGAGAATAGACTAACCTTTGCGAAATACTTGCAGACAGTCTCAGAAGCGCTGCCGAGATCGTGGCTAAAGGGGCAGGCATTGCCTGCTTGACATGCACCTTGCCGGAAGAATTTGCAAGGCACATGGGAAGTGTCTGGTGGTGACCGCGTTAGCTCGCAATCATCCCACGTGTGTCATCCGTCCTTTTTCTTGTGCGCCGCTCAGCAAAGAAAGGGAGAAGGAGAATATGGATGCTCAAAGGCGACTATGACCTTTTCGCATCTGGATCCTACTTGTGCAACCGGAGCGAAGCGGGCTAGGTAATGGGAGAGTACTCACTCGGAGGACTTCGGGGACCATCGAACCTCTGCGATGCTGCTGGTGCAGGACCCATTGCGCCCGTTGAAGGGGGAATGTTGAGACTCCCAGATCTCACGTGTCGAAACTCGGACATTGTGTCGAAACCTGGGAGCGAAGCAATTCACTCGAGAATGTTTTGAACAGATGTATCCACGGGAGGGGGCGGGCAGGTATCGGGTATCGTGAAGAGTTGAAGGTGGCGGGTGGTGTGGTGGAGGAGACGGAGACGAGAGTGACGGGGTCGTCAATAATGAGGGGCAATCAAAAAGGCCGAGCAAAGCGATAGGCACGATACTGACAAGTACTTTTGGCCCTGTCTGCACCGCACCGAGTCCGGATCAGTATCCTACCTGACCTATGTATGTACGTAGGTAGGTAGCTCAGGAAGTCAGCAAGTAACCCGCAAGGCTAAATGGATCAATCAGTCCCGTTCAATTGAATCGAGCTTTGACTTGGGACGCCTTCTCAGGTCCTTATCAACTGCTGCTGCGACCGAGGGTATGTACGGATTATGTACGGATCCGTACGGAGCAGATTCGTACAGTAACTAATAAAGTACTGCAGGGTTCACGATTGCCAGCTGACCGTTCTCAACTCTACTCCGGGGTGCGAGCAGGGCTTTGGACGCGGACTCGAAAGTATCAAAGAATGGAATTGGTATGACAGAAAATCCAATCAATTGTCCCCGACTACAGGGCGAATATAATATCAATGCCGTCCAGTAGAGAGCCAGCAAGTTTCGTGGATGTCTCACGTCCTCTTGTCGGATGAATCGATTGGCTGGACCAACTAACAAAAGCTCTGTCTCAGCACTGCGTCGTGAGTTGCAAGGAAGAGAGTTCAAGGAAGGAGGGGAGTTGGTGGCAGAGAAGCGACCTTGCTGTAGAGCACCAAGTAGTCTAACCTGGGACGAGTGAATGCCCGCCTGTAGCCTGCCTTGGAAAACTATGTACTATGTAGAGACCGAAGGACGGACGACCAGGATACGTACCTTAGTGACGGAGGCGGTGGGTAAATAATAAAAGGCACCGGATATGCAAGAGGAGCCCAAAAGTCAAAGATGGGCAAATCAGCGGTAGGATATGCGCAATGGAGAGGGTCAGCAGTTGATTGGGTTGAGAGGCCGATTGTAAGGAGATGGAGATGCGACAATGCAGCAGAAAGATGGAGGGGTCCAGGTCAAGTCCTATTTGTGGTTTGGGCCACTTAAAATAAGATCTGCGGAGCCGTTCAGCCAAGTTATTGATAGAGGCGAGACGTGCTTTTAGCTTGATATATGCTAACGGAACAGATACGGGAAGTCGTAACATGTCAATGTTGAGGGTGTGAAGGCAATACACGCTTTTGTATGTATTTCCAGGGCGAATTCGCTTACGAACGCGATTATCCTCTTGGTAACTTGTCGAGGTTCGTCTCCTGAGTTCATGCTTAGCCCGTGCAAGGTAAACCTCGCGGCTGAAAATCCACCAACGTTGCTGTACGTAGATGGCGGGGCTACTTCTGACAAAAGGGCACCCATCGGATTCAGGTTAAGTCAGCTAAGGCTACTTAACAGAACATGCCGCTCGGGATAACAAGTTTTGGAAAGACGTTAAAATAAGGCTTACTTGATCTCGATCTGACGCGGTGTGACTTCTCTTGCAGCGCCTGCAAGGCCGCTAGAGTGGGATGTCGTTTTGGTCATGTCCTCTTCCGTGTTGCTTTAACTGTCGGTCCCGAGTCTTTTCAAGTCTCAGTTGTCGTAGAATGGAAGATCTATAACACTTAGGTATCACAATAGCATCTAGCTCGACATCACCGCTGGAAACAAGGTTGGAGGTGAACACCCATTGAAGGCGAACTAGAGGATGTAACGCAACGAGTGCGCCTGCTGAAGTTACTAACTCCTCCCGCGCCGCCTCCAAGCACCACCTCGTATCGTCTCCTGCAAAGAAAACCGATGATACCGGTTCTTCAAAGTGGGGGTTAAAAATTCTATATTCATGAGTTAAATCAATGCTTTGGGTGTCGGTCGGTGAGACTTGCGGATATGTAGGTGCGGGCATGTTGCTTCAGACCCTGGAGGAGTTCTTCCTTTGAGGTCACTTGTACCGCGTTTCGTCGCTCATGGGTATTGAGAAGAATAAGACGCGTCGTAGAGAAGTGGTGTTTCCCAATTAAGATTATGATCGATCGCCTGAGGGTGTATAGTATGCACCACAAGACCATACGTGGATGAGTAATTCCAGTTTATGGACGTCATGCGGTTCACATTTGCGGTCTGAGGCAAGGCCTCGCGATCGGCTAACTCGTGCACTAATAAGTCGCTTGTGCCTGAAGGGGGCATCCCTAAGCAGTCGGAAAACGACGCCTGAGTCTTGATCTGACCCGAGCATGCCGTACTCATTGATATCAGACTAATGTTGGCACCAAATCGGTAAAAGTATTGCCACTTCGAGTCAGCACAGCATTCTGCGGACAACCGTATTACGACTTGTCAGTTTTACAACGATAGGATGAAGACGCCAGGAGTCTCCAGGGTCTGGAGCCGCTGGCTCTAGCTGTTGCTGACGAATAATAGCGCTCAACGAGCATCTGCGTGTGGGGGTGTCGGCAAGACCCCTGCCTTTCCGAGTACTGCGGACTGCATGCTGTCTTAAACTACTCGTTGCACAACAAGGGATTCAGTATGTCTGTGCTTATAGTAGTCCTTACAATAGTAGTGGCTATTTCATATTGTTTACATAGGTCCTAATGATAAAATGCGTTGCATGACTTGTTGCCCCCCCCCCCCCCCCCCCCCTTCCCCGCAGATCAAGGTTGTCTGAATGCTAAGCGGCCGCTTAATTGCGGCGTAATAGTGAGAAATAAGCCGAGCCAGAAATCCTCTCTCCGTGCGACCTATAATAACCATATCTGAGGGGATATGGATACTAACAAAAGACTAGATAGACCAGGTATGGTATGTATGAGGAATTTGAACTCGATAATGTTCATGCACCTGGGTTCGGGCCGTTATGACGGTAACAGGGACATCGCAAGTCGAGGGCGGTGAAATCTGAAACGCAATCAGCCGCTCAAAGCTTATCTTTTGCAATGGATGATCTGCCTCAGTGTCATGTTGATTGAGACGTACAATACGCACGTACTCTTGATCAGTTGCTCTGCTTGCCGCAAATGTGGATGCTCAGGCGGCACATTCAAGCTCTGGAAGGTCGCGTGCGGTCGAGCCCCCCGGCGTCGGAATCAGCATGACTTCTAACAATAAAAAGCATGCATGACAGGCGGGTGGGATTGTGGAGGTTGTCTTAGATGTTGCAGAGGATCTATGGTTTTGCTTGCTTTTTATGTACGATGCATCTGTGAATGACATGGCCCCGGCCAATTGGAATATAGAGCAATCATTATGAGCTCTTCTGGCAAGGAGGACATGCATAAACGAAGGCCTTTGTGTCTAGTTGTAGGCTGCGCAAGACCGAAACCTTCAGCCATACAAATTTAAAGAGCCGGCACAGTTCTGTTCTACACTGCGGCTTCGTGTTAGCCTGAGCTGATTCAGTCTTTCTCAAGATTAGGTCATAGAGACATGAATGGCATACATTTGGCAATAATACACGACACGGCATCAATCCGAGAGTCAAAACTTCATTCAGAGGTTAGATGCACGCTACCAGTCCACATTTATCTCTTCGGTCGTCTAACGAAAACCGACTTTGAAATACATCGTACGTGGTAATAAGTATCACCTGAGCGTGCAAAGAGCTATGCAGATGCGGCGCTACAGTCAAACCTTGGGTGTACATGTCCCCACAGCACCACCCTTGCAACCGGCTTGAGGATCGTGTAACTCGGTAAGAACGTGAATACTTCGTCCTCAAGCACCGATCAGCGCGTGTCGCGTTTAATAACGAGGGCCAAAGACATTTTTCATACTTCTTCAGTGAGCCCGTACGTCAACTAAAGTGGTGTCTAGCGCAACGGCGTGGCAATCATGCCCAAAGACTTCCTTGACCGAATGACGAAGATCTCCTTTGCGTACGTAGTAGCCTAAGGTTAGGTTAGATGCATGACTGTCAGATCCCTGACTGCGGGAGCAGGGAGGGGTTTCCCTTGACGGATCGACCCAACTACCGAGAAGCAAAAACAACGCCACTCGTTTTCAAAATACTGCATTCCTGCCATCACTAGACTTCGCGAGGGAGGATTAAAGTTGATAAACGTATGGACCTTGCAAAAGTACGGATTATACTTGGTATGTCTTGCCGCTGCAGACCATTGGTCCCACACCCGTGGGCTTACAATTCTTCTACAGCAGGCAGTACTCCGTAGTATGGACAGATGAGCTTGACTGTTGACATGGAGGATATGGCTCTCATCAGTCAATCTTAGCGGCAAAGCTACGCATGTATGTCAATTCCAGCTATTTTTAATGAGATCTTTTCAACCCCTAGTACAATTATGAACTTTGGATGCAAGCACTATTGAAGAACCCTCGCTAATTCGGATGCAACCCGTTGCAGCGGGCATGAGTTCGCAGACCCTTGGTACCCACCCGCAGCTTGCATGACCAGGATTCGCATGACCAGGATTCGCATGCCACATGGTCTCGATTCGTATGTTGAAACAAAGGGAAGATACCACTTCCAGACTATCAGTCTTCTATCGCTGATTTCTGCGTTCGTGACTTTAAGGTCGAGACGGTAGAACGGGCCGGGGGGTTTTCCCCCCTTTTTTTACGAGCAGCGACAACGGTAGGAAATATTCTCACCTACATAAGCCTGTGACTGAACGTTTCATACGCAATGCTCTGTTCTTTGCACACGCAAGGTTGATTCTTTAGTTTGAAGCGTTCCTTATGTACAGCCTCGGCCAAGGCAGCGCAAGACCCTGGAGCCAGCCACTCGCTCGAACGGTCAACTGAAGGGTTATACCACATTGACTTGGACGAATCACATCACGACTTGCAACACCACTCCATCACTGTAGTTCTCCACACCATCTCGAGATCACGCCGACCCTTTGACAGTACTAACCGTTACAGTCTTGTTCTTGTTTGATGCTCCACTATACAGGCAGCTGATTTACCTGTATTACATGTCGACTACGTCACTATAT